ATATATATCTATATATGCGAAGAGTGGGGGGACAAAGTTATTAAATGGTTTAAAGTACATAAACTAATCTTTTATGCCGCTAAGTGGGCGGACAAAGAGAAAATTATTAAATTTGACTTAATTTTAGAGAAAAATTATAAATTTGAAAATGAAAGTAATTAATTATACTTAAGCTTAATTAAAAGGAGTATTTGCATATATATCATCTCCATTTGCTGTACATTCGGTTGATAGGCCTCTCCGCATACTGTTGCGTTGAGTTGAAGTTCTCCTTCTGTTTCGGTCTGATGGAACGCTTATAACTTTCTTCCACTTTCTTAATCTTCTTCTTTCTTCTTTCTCTCTTATTTTCTCAGGGGATGGATCTGTCAAAATCGTGGCTTGATTTCTTGATGCTTCGCGGCTAGTCTTCAACGGCGGAGCTGTGAGATGGTAGATTTCGCCCCGCATTTCGGCCTTTTTGTTCTGTCTCTGCTTTGCCTTCTTCCAAGTACAGATATGTACATAGTTTCGGTTAATTATTGGAGTCCAACGAGTGTTTTGCTTATTTTGTTCTTCTCTTTGTTTCTGGATAAAATTTTATAAAAAAAATCCTGACTTGGGCTTTGGTTTGAGTTTTATTTTCAAAATTATGTTGTTTTTTTTTTAATTATATTTTTGTTGGGCGTGCTTGAAGATTATAGTTTCACGTACAGAATAACTTTTTTGGATTTGAGTTGGGAACTTTGGTTGATACAGCCCATGGAGACTATTATTAGTGTATCATATATTTGGATTTCTTTCTTCTTTTGTTGAAAGCTAAGTTAGGGTTTAATTTAATGAGATTTAGGACCAGGAGAACTGGTTCACCTGCTTGATTCTGTCTTTTGAGTTCCGGTTGATGGTAAATTGCTTATATGGATGATGAAATTTGATTGTTAGGGTAAGGAGAAGTACTATTTGGGAAGTGCCTTTTTTTCTTGCATTTTTTTTTTTATTTTGTTGTTTTAGTTTCTTTAGTTTAGTCGGGAATTGGGTTATTTAATTGCGCGCAGGGACTGCTGGACTGAAGGAGGGGTTTTGGATTTTTAGGGCCTGTTTGGCTGCAAGCAGGATTTAAACTAAAGATTAGTAAATCTCTGAATTCTCAAAATTCGTAAATCCACCCATCCCTTGCATTTAGTAAATCCGGGTTTAGGCCTGATCAAAGGCAAAATTGGATTTACTGAATAAAAAATTTCTTAAATCCATGGAACTTCTGCATTTTGCCATTTGGTTGGATTTAGTAAATCCAGTGATAAATTCTATTAAAATCCTCTATCTGACAGCCGCTTAGAAGATTTGTTTATGTAGTGGCGCTCTAGCTTGCAACCGCACTTAATTTGTCAACACGAAATCCTCTATATATTTGGCTCTTAAGTCCTATAACTTGTTGCTCTTAGCTAGTTGTGCAAAGAGTGAGCCTTAGTTCTATGTTACTAAACTTGTTTGAGAGACTATTGAAGTCACCCATCTATCAAGGCTAGTCACCAAAAGAATTCGACTAGTCACACTTGGTGCTCGTCAGCCAACCAAGACCAGTGAGTCTTAATCCAAAACTTGCTAGAAGTTCTAATTTAGAAGCCAGTCTTACTCTTTGCACAACTATATATGCTGATCTAAATTTTGTATTTTGTCTGTAATTACACCAATGGACAATTTTGCTCCCCCGATATTATCCCTCACTTTATCTATTTTGATGTCTGAAAGCGGCAACTCTCTTGACCCGCTAATGTCATGATCAAAGGATGGCTACATACTAAAGGCAAGCTTCACAAAAAAGAAAACCTTAGTCTTCAAGTGCCAATTTCATCATCAATGAAGATGTCAGATTATAAGTATGAATTCTAACTTTAGCTTCAAGGTAGCATTTTCCAAAAGGATGACTAGATAAAGAAGTTCGATTTCTCCAAGCAAAGTTTTGTAAACCAATAAAAAAAATAGAGAAGTAATATTTATACTTAGTATTATAATACAAGCAATTTCTAAAGAAAATAATATTTATTTTTTATAAAGATTCAAACTTATGAATAAGTTTTTATAATTCTTCTTTTAGCAATTGTATACCAAGTAAAGAAAGGGCTTATAATTTTAGTTGGAATTTTCCATAGGATATGACGGGCCCTAAAAGATTAAAATATACCTAGAATGGACTGAATGAGGGGCTATTTAAAAATTTAGGGAAGGGTATCCCAATCTTTATCTCCAATATACCTCGTGGTTGTCAACAATAAACATTGTAGCTTGCACCTTTCTTAGATCAAAATGCAACTCACGATGCCGCCCTAGGTTGACTAGACAAATCTCCTTAGAATGAGGCTATCTTGAGCAATCAATAGTGGCACAACAGTGGCTGTCACTAGCAATATCACCTATTAATGTTTCTAGTATTTTATGCTGACCACATTATCTATTTTGTCGCAATAATAACGTCAATAGATATGATTCAAAATGTTAATTGCTAGATTGACTAGAATAATTTTTAAAACATTTGTTATATCTAGTTTATTAACTTGTGGTCGTCTAAAAAGAAAACAATGACTCGTAATTTTCACGTATATATATTATTATCTTCAAGAGGAATATTTTGATTCAAACGGTCTATAAAATTTAAGTCATAATGGCTCGGTGAAGTCAAAATATTTTTGAAATATCAATCTCCTTATTTTGACTCCACCCAACCAATCCCTTTGCATATTGCTCACCATCTATGATGGGTCGATTTTGTTTGGTTTTATTTGGTACAAGTTATTTCAAATGCATTTATTCAATGTGGAGCCAATCTAACTCCAATTCTAGCGATTTGGGCATCTTTAAACTTAATGAGCATCTCAGATCTTCTATTAGGGTCATCACACTAATAATATCTTATTTATCCTTCAATTTGACCAATCTGAGTAAAATTGAGGTTTGATATGTCTTTTAAATTGATTCGAGGCAATGATTAGCGTAAAAAATTATGCATGATTAGGTAAAATTTTTTATGATCCCAATATTTATCCTTACCCAATGCACTTTTGTTTACGAGCTTCATGTGGCTTCAATAGGATTGATGTCATTTATTCATGATTATATTGCTGATGTCTTATTACAAGTTGATTTTTACTTTTAGGCCATTTCACTTATTTGCACTGATACTTTTAAATATTTCAATATCCCATCATATTATTGCGACATCCAAACGTCTCTCCTATTACATTCTTTTGAGGTAGCTCCGATTAACCTTCTGATCATACTTTTTATGGTCAGAATTGTATGATAGTTTGATAATATAAGATACAGTACTCAGAGCTGAGCAGATCTCATTTTATTTATGCTGGATATTGCATTAATTCAACATCTTAAACATTCTAAATGGTGAAAGAACTTAACGAATGATCAATTGCTCATTAGAGACGGGATTAGCAGGCCTTTTTTTTTAATTGGTAAATTAAAAAAAGGTGCAATTTTGAGAACTAACTTTCAAGTTTCTTTTTGTAATGCATTCAAGCTGCTGTTTTAAGTAATTTGACCCTTCACATTCAGCTTTTTGCTTTTTTTGAACTGGAGTAATCTAACTCTCTCCTGATAATACATTTGGCTTGCTGAAATTGCAGATTGAAATTCATTGATGAGGTTTAATCATCCATGCAAGGAATAGCTGTCTCCAAGCCAATGCCAATTTCATATTTCTCTCTTTCTTTCTTTGGCATGTTTCTCAACACATTATTAACTGTTGGTGATTGAGTATTCTCCAAAACTCTGTGCATCTTCAGTTAATGAAACATCACCTCAAAATTATTGATAAAAAGTGTTCCATTAAAGATGAAGAAGTTTTCTGGAGGTCTCATTTTAGTATCCTTGTTTGTGTTACTGCTTCTGAGATATGGAATGTTGGAAAATCCATTAGCAGAAATGTCTCTTCGTAGTCCTTTCTCTCAAAACAATTCTCAACATTTGCATTGGGTGGCTACTGGAGTAGATGAACCAGTAGTTCCAAATCCGAAGAATGAGTCGGAAATAATTTCAACTGGTTCCTTAATGTCCCATCTTCCCATACCGCAGAACCTTTCCGCTGAAGAACTACGGTCTCTTCAGACATGGAAAAATATGATTCACCTGGTTAATCATTCCGAAGGCCTTCCTCAGGCAGTTGAGGCTGTCAAAGAAGCTGTAACTGCATGGGAAGGTCTCATGGCATCCATTGAAGACGAAAGGCTATCTAGATCTGGAAATGGAAGTAAAAGCAAAAAGCTAAAAGAAAAACAGTGCCCCTATTCTGTCATAAGGATGAATGCTTCAGAGTTTTCTGATGGGGATTTTAGGTTCAAGATTCCTTGTGGACTAGTTCAGGGCTCATCCTTGACTGTCGTTGGTACTCCTGAAGGGCTTCTGGGAAATTTCAAGATTGATTTGGTGGGTACAGCTCTTCCAGGTGAACAAGATCCTCCCATAATCCTGCATTACAATGTTCGGCTTCATGGCGATAAAATTACAGAAAATCCAGTTATTGTTCAAAATACGTGGACTTTAGCTAATGACTGGGGTCCAGAAGAGCGCTGCCCTTCGCCAAATCCTGATAATAATAAGAAAGGTGCTACAACTGTGATCTGAGTTGAAGTTAGATTTGCTTACAAAGTGATCTTTTCTCTTTGCTCATATTTCTGAGGTTATTCTTTCATGCACAGTGGATGATTTAAATCAGTGCAGTAAAGTGGTCGGTGAAGATGACAATCAAATCTTTGCTTCAAAACTATCTTCCAATGCTTCAACACAGAACCTTTCGAAAGGCGAAGGTGCTAAACATAGGAGATATTTTCCTTTCAAGCAAGGATACCTTGCTATTTCTACACTGAGAATAGGGTCTGAAGGGATACAGATGAGCGTCAATGGGAAGCATATATCCTCTTTTGCTTTCCGTGAGGTACTTTTATCATAAATAACGATTATTTTTAAATATTTACATACTGAGAGCGCTTCCTAACTCTTCGTTTTGCCAACCTAGGCCTTGGAGCCTTGGCTTGTTAATGAAGTAAGGATTTTGGGAGACATTAAATTGTTATCAATCCTTGCTAGCGGCTTACCCACTTCTGAGGATTCTGAGCATGTCATTGACTTGGAATTACTCAAGTCTGCTCCTTTACCTATTCATAAAGGCGTTGATCTGTTCGTTGGTGTATTTTCTACTGCTAACAATTTTAAACAGAGAATGGCTGTTAGGAGAACTTGGATGCAATATCCTGATGTTCGTTCCGGTGTTGCTGCTGTGCGCTTTTTTGTTGGTCTGGTAAGCAATTAATGCTGCCATGCTGCCTAAGTTTAGTAATACTTGATACAAACTCGAATCCTTTATTATTATTATTATTAATTCTTCCTTTAGCTGCTTATGCATTTTCACTGGAGTTTGATCTTCACTCTAATCAGTAAATGCTTACTTTTCCTAATCTTAAACATCTCTGTGTTCAAAACTAAGTTCCTCAATGTAATTTATGGTCTTATAGGCATGTTTCAATAATAAGAATAATGCTAACATTGTACCATTTGAATATAGAACTGCATAATATTTATTCTGTGTGATCAAATAGTTTTCCGGTTGTGAATGTATGAAATTTTCTTACAGCACAAAAACCAACTTGTGAATGAAGAACTATGGAATGAGGCAAGGACTTATGGAGACATCCAGTTGATGCCTTTTGTGGATTACTATAGCTTGATTACCTTGAAGACTGTAGCCATCTGCATCTATGGGGTGAATTTTTTTTTTTAGTATTTTCTGGATTTGAACCTGCTTCGATTTTTAATATTGCTGAATGCTTCTCTTGTTTCTTCTTTTAGACAAACATAGTATCAGCTAAGTATGTTATGAAGACAGATGATGATGCTTTTGTCAGAATAGATGAGGTGCTTGCTTCCTTAAATAGGACAAATGTGATCCATGGATTGCTGTATGGGCGGATCACCAAAGACGATATACCGAACCGAAACCCTGACAGCAAGTGGTATATAAGCGTCGAGGTAGCTTTTTTCTTTCTGCTATACATATTTTTTTTACAAGTCTCATGTAGTATTACCAGAAGTTTCTAATATTTAGTTTTTTGCATAATGCTTTTCTGAAGCTAAAACTATCACTTATGGATGTTCTATGTATGGGGCATAGGGTGCATTAGCTTGATTCAGTTAAGGCTGTTTTGGTGTTGCGGTTGTTCAACTATAGATGGGGAGACTTATTTTGGCGAACTGGAGAAAGTTATATAATTTATATAAGGGAAATTTACATACATACCACTCAATTCTAATTTATTTACATATTGAACCCAAACATTTATGTTTGCGCTTAAAACTCCTTGGTGACTTAAATCCTTGCATGAATATGTGTATTTTGCTTTTAAAAAGATAGTGATGGTGGTGTTGTTTTTTATATGATGGTAAAAATTTGAGCGGTATGCATATAAATATAAATTTTTAGATTTTAGATATGTAAATGCATAACAATTATGTGATATTTATATAAATATATAGTTAATAGTGAATTTAAAGATAAATCTTCTATATTATAGATGTTTATATAGACTTTTTCTTAAATCTAGAAAAGCAAGAATAACCCTCAACCATAAGGCACATTTAGTTGAAAGGATCTAATGCTCTGCTTGTTTTCTTAAAAGGAATGGCCTGGTCAAAGGTATCCTCCTTGGGCACATGGACCTGGCTATGTGGTCTCCCAAGACATAGCTAATGCAGTCTACACTCAACATGAAAAGGGCCAATTAAAATAAAGGTTATATCTCTCTCTCTCTCTCTCTCTCTCTCTCTCTCTCTCTCTCTCTCTCTCTCTCTCTTTCTCTATTTTGACTATATCTGCTACTTTACTTTCAGTTAATGGTCACTATTTTTTATGTGATATGAAACATTTTGAGTGGTATAAATATAAAAACTAAAGCTTTGGTGTTAAACCTACAAATACATAGAAATAGGTTGGTATGTATGTAATGCCTCAAAATATTTTGACAACTAAACTGAACTGATAATATGTTCATGCACAGATGTTCAAACTGGAGGATGTGGCAATGGGCATATGGACAGATGATATGAAGAATTTAGGAATGGATGTTAAATATGTTAATGATGGGAGGATTCTTATTGAAGGATGTGAAGAAGGTTACCTTGTTGCCCATTACCAGCAACCCAGGCAGATGCTTTGCTTGTGGCAGAAACTCCAGGACACGAACCGAGCGAAATGCTGCGGCGACTGAAAGCATTCTTACATTGTTCAGAGTCTACGATGGCTTATTTGTATACTAACAAGCCGAAGAGCCTCGCCATCGAGCTTTCTCATCTTCGTGGCATCTGTATACTAACAGTCAGGAGAGACTGACCACAATTCAACTTTGGAGTCCGGCCACGAATCGATTGTGATGGCAGATGGACTCGAGCTAACTGGTTCTTTTTGTTTACCATTTGGTAGTTATTTTTTGTTTGGGTTGAAGCAGTAGATTTATAGAGTTTATGTTCAGAGTTTTGATGATTAGGCTTACTGATATAGATACTGGAAAGCAACTATGTAGTTGTTGGTGAGGGGCTGTTCATGCCAGAGGGGTTTCTTGCCTTGTTATGATAGTTTTTATATAGGAAGTGGAATGATATTTATCTATGATATGTGCAAACTCCACTTTTATTTATTTATTTATTTATGTTATTCTATTTATTTGAGTTCAAATAATATGACCCCTTGCATTGATGTTTCATGCAATTTCATATAATTGTGAAGGTGTTCTTATTTCATATTAGTGATTTATGCATGCTATGTCCAATGTTTTATTATTATTATTAAGGAAATAATAAAATAATATTGTGAACACTGGATCAAACATTATATTCAAGATTCAATTATTCACTTGGGTTGAACCGGAGGTTGAACTGGACAACTTAATAAATAGACAAATTATTTTTATATAATTTAAATAATAGATTTATATTATTTATATTGATTTAATAAATAATATTTTAGTTTTAGATTATAATTTTAAATATTTTGAACAAAAAAATTTAAAATAAGATAAGTGATATTTTTAATTTAAATATCTTGTTTCAGGTCATCCGATTAATATTAGAAGATTAAAATTAATAATTGAACGTATTTGTCTTTTGTGGTTCTAAGCTTTGACAGAACTCGTTGAATGATTGGTCGCGATGGAATCGATCAGACCGATTCGATTTTTAAAAGTCATTTCCAATCATAGACTCAAATAAAAATAGAGCTATTTCAAGTTTCAGCCATTCCATTCTCTGTGATCTTCATTCTCCACAGACTTGATTTTGTATAATTATAAAATATTTAATTTTTTTTATCGTCAAGAAATTTTCGAAATATAATATTAAGCTGGAATAAGTGAATTAATGACAATTAATCTTAATTTAACAAGCAGATATTTAGACGGCTTCGAGCTAAAAAAAATCTTTTTGAGCTTAATTTTCTTTTAACAAACAAATACGTCACCTTTTTTTTCTATTTTAGAACTGATAGGCGACCAACAAATTTTTATCAGTCAGCACTAATCTCGATGTAATCTTTTCAACATGAGACATTCAAACTTCGATTAAGAGTCATCCGGAGCTCCGATTTCAACAAAATTATAGTCAAACTGATCGGCTCGATAAGACGGACCTAATGATATAAAAATTAGTCCAATCCGAGTCAAATCAAGCCCGGATCAAATTATTAAATCACTCTTGAAAGATTTCCGAAGGCATTTGAAAGGTCAAACAGATGTCGAATCTAGCGAGTTCATAGTTGAATCAAGTGTTTCGACAATAAGAATCCAACGGGCCTAATATTGCCTAATTTCGACATCGTTAAGACAATCAAATGTCCATCAAACGTTATGTGATACAGGAAAGTTCTCGAGATCGTCCGATCAAAATGATTCATATTCATGCATTAATTGCATCCAGAACATTATAAATAGAGTTTTACTCTTCACATGAGAGAGAAGGTTGGAGAGAGAACTTGAGGACTTGAGAAAGCGCTCAAGTCCAACATCATCCTTGCCACCGTCGACCACAGCCGATCGTCGTCGACCGCGATTGACCTCTGTCGACCACCGCTGGTTACCGTAGACCACCACAAACAGTCATTGATTGTCGTCGACTACCGTTAACCAGACACCGTCAGTCAACGTTGCACCTTAGAAAATCTAATAACCATTTTCCCATATGTAGGATAAGGAGTCTCTGTAATCATTAACTTATAATATATTTTTATAACTTGGCCCCGTGGTTTTTTCACTTTAAGGGTTTTTCACGTAAAAACTTCGAGTATCATCACAGGTTGATTCACTTTCATTTGAGTGTGTGTTAAATCCTCGTGCAACACTAAGACGATAATTCATTCCTCTACTGCCGCGAATCTTTTAGCAAGCATCAAGAATAATTAAAAAAAATAACTAAAATTAAAAAAATGGGCGGCAGATGCCGCGTCATACAGAGAAGTACACGAAAATAAAACTTTAATACAAGCTAGAACGTAACGGCTGAACGAGCATTATTGACCGGAAGTGCATTTTAATTGAATATATATTACAAGACTCTCCATTATTTTTGTAAGATCTTATATATTTCGTATTAAATTAAAGGCCCTAAGTCAAAATACTTTATTTTCGTCTAATACAAATGCTGTTTTTTTTGGCCGGCTTTAAATGTATGACTTTTTTATGGTAATTTTCATTTTTCTATTTATCCAATTTTAACTTATTAATAAGCTACTAAAAACTAATCTGATGTTCCAAACGTCAGATCGTACCTAAAAAGCTGCCACCGCACCTAGCCAATAACGATGTGAAAAATGCTGATTTCAGTGGTTTGAAGTAGTTTTTTGAACAACCTGTCAAAGACGCAGTTTAACCTAACGGTTTTGGGTGTGTTTTCAAAACTCACCGCACCAAATAAGCTGCCCCCAAATGAGACCTTCATAATTGAGGAGTATGGGAGGACTTGTTCATAAATAATTTTTGGCGTAGCTGTAAATTAATATTTTTTAAAAATTCAATATCAAAACAAAATTTAGCTAAAAAATCCTGATAAATGTCTTTATAAATAATAAAATTTAGTGAAAATTGGCGTTTGATAAATTTTGCGTTGACAAATTACCTTCCGTTGTTGGCCACACGGCATAGCATTGGTTTTTTTTTTTTTTTTTTTTTGGTTGCATTTTTTGGAATTATTATGCAACATTTTATTTAAAAAAAAGGACAAAAAAGAAAGCTGAACATAATCGATGAAATATTATATTGATTTTGACATATTAACATACAAATTAACATTCCATTTGGCATTTAGTTAACTTGCTACGGGAGATTTGCATTAATAATAAGAAGCTTTATTGATTCGTCATATGTAAAAATAAGTTAGTAACCATAATCCAATTTGAAAATTAGCATATAACTACCCTTTTTTTTTTATAAAAAGTTCATGAGAACGTCTTGCACGAATTTCAAATGCATAATAAGCAATGGCATCCTAACTAATGTATGCTAATCACAAAGTTTATGTGATCTAATATGACTTTTGACACAACTAATTAAATTAACAACTTCTTGGATCTAATTGAGAATCTTTCAAATTTTAGTTTGCATATTCCGAATTTTATACAATATGGAGATAACAAGTTTACATGTACATGAAAAAGGTGATTGATTGTGTTAGAAGATTATGGGTGAGACATGTGTCGAAAGAGCCGAGCGAGATGGGAATATCTGAGATAAGAAGAAACTAACCGAAATAGAATTAGCCGGCAAACTGGTCCTTACTCAACTTAAGAGTTTTTGTCAACCTGAGAAATGTCCAATATGGATGATCGATCAATTTGGGAGCGAATCAGACAAATGGTTACTGACACTCAAAAGCTTGATTGAGGTTTGAAGCCGAGTAGCATATCCGACTGAAAGTCGCTAAAGGAGATTAACTGACCATAAAATTGTCAAGGGATAATTTGTCATTTCACAATTATTCTAGTTTCCTCTAAACAGCGAAAAAATAAACGTGGCAAGGGGTTAATGGAATTGCAAAGAAAGAAGGTGATTAAAAGGGAGAAGAGGAGAGTTGCTTCTTCTAAAGGAACAGAGGAGCGGTCGCTGAAGAGGCTTCTTCAAACACCCGCCCGTCCTGGCCAGAGTGAGGACAGGTTGCAGTGGACCCGTCGGCCCTGCCCAGGGCGAGGGCGACTGACGATCGCAGTAGCCCAAGAGCAGAGGTGGCCGCTGGAGATCGCAATAGCCCAGGAGCAGAGGTGGCAGCTGGCCCTTCGCTACTAACCCGGAGGAAAGAAGAGGAGGCCCCTAGCCGGAGATAAAGGTCTTCACATGATTGGGTCGAAGCTAGAGAGGCTCATGGGTATGAAAGGAATTCCTTTGGACTTTGGTTGGGGCAATAACTTGACATTTCTGTTAAATGCATGTGGCAATCAAGATAGAAGATGTCGAAGGTGGCGGGCCGTCGAGAGATGCAGTCGACTCACAACCTATTCTTTTCGTTGGGCCCTTTGATGCAATCGCTTCTTCTTTTATGTCGATCGACGAAGAAAGAAGCTCCCAGTAGAAACATACCATACCCTAAACCCGAGTCGATGACGTTCCAATCTCATCTAATTATTGCATAGCAAGTTGAGGGAGAGAGAATGGGCCCTGAGGGAGCTTAGAGGGGGCACAACTAAAGGTCCTTCTTCCGACATGTTAGATGAGCCGATATTCGCTTCTTCGTTGAATGCTTGGCCTGATTTCGCTCACCTGGCTTTGTTTGAGAGGGCTAGGGAGGTTGAACCTCCTGTCACTTCAGCCGGTTCTACTTCGAAGGGTTCTGCTTCTTCTTCAAGTTTTGAATCTTTGTCATCTTCGAAAAGGGGGACCGTCCTTCGAGAAGGGAAAAAGCAAGTGAAGGCTATTAACGCTCCGACCCTTCCTTCGTTGACTCACTGGATGTTTCAAAAGACTGGCATCCCTTATTGGCCGACACCCAACACATGTCGTCTCTTTTGGCGAAAATGATTTGGTCTTTGTCATTTTCGATGGAGCTCAAGGGGCACTATTTGAGAAACTTCTCAAGTGCGCTGCTTGATCTCACCATTAGGACTTGCTTTTCTGAAAAAAATGAATTCGTTGAGGACAGCTGAGGAGAGCTTGTTCCGATGAAGAAGTTGTCTGCTTGCCGAGTGATATCAAGTGGGCTTGCGATGAACGAGACTTTGTAAGCTGCAGCAATCCGAACAAAAGGAGGAGTAGCTGAAGAAAGAGGTCATTGAACTTAAGAGAAAATTGCAGTCGCTCGTTCCTCGAGAGGAGTTGGCGGAACAACTTTGGCTAAGAATCAAGTATGTTACCCAGCGGTACGTTCACCATGATTTGGTCGACCTGAAGTTTTCTGACCCATCCGAGTTTAGTGTCTTGATCCCCAATCATCTTGTTGATATCTCGGAGGAGGAGGATGGCTTGGGGGGTGGGAGAAAATCTTTGTGTGGCCACTTGAAGACCAATCAGTTACGTCGTACCTTTTTTTTATTACCTGAAATTTTGTTAATATTATACAAGAAGATTTGTAACTCTTCCCTTATATTAATATAAGGAAACTTTTTGCTCTTCCTAAAAAAAAAACTTTTTGTTTTACCTGAGTCAGCCCATGAATTCTGAGAAACAAATTAATCACAGTGTTTTTGTCAGTTTCACTTTTGTTTCCTCCGATTGCTTGCGTTGTGTCATCTTTTTCAGTGGGTTTCAGTCTCGATTGATCTTTTATCCCGGCACGAATCTTGTCGTTATTTGGGAGAGTGATGAACAGTATTTTCGGTGACGACTTTGCCCTATTTTGTGGATCTTGTCGCCAGCAGGGAGAGAGCCGCTTTGGAGTTTTGGCCTATCTCGAGTTTAGAGGCACGATTTCTCATGCTTTGCGTTAAATTATCAGTCGATCGCTTATCTCGGAGGGAAACTTTATACTCTCAGTCATTCATTATCTTGAAGATTCATGCTTGTAGTTCTTGTGCATGCAAGTGTGATCCACAAACAAATTTCGGTTCAACATTACTCTAATAATTTTTTAACAATCAAACCATAGTCAATAAATGCCGTTTAGCAAATGCAAAATAAAATTTTCAAAATCGAGAATGTGCGCGACACAACCGAATGCCTTTGTATTATGTTTGGAACAACCATACAAAACAAAATTGATGAAATTATAAAATTAAATATAACTTATCGTGCACTCATACACATTTGTTATGGTGACAAATTATGTATCATGCATTTGGGCTTTTATCTGAATATTATATTTTTTAAGGAAACTAATAAACAAGCTTTGGAGTTAGAATTTTACACGAATCTTAATGCAAAATACAAGTAAATGAAACCATGCATACCTTCTTAAATTAAAATTACAAATCTAATTCATCCAAATAATAAAAAAAAAAAAGAATAAAAAATGTTACAACAAAATTAATTAGATTGATTTGAATAGTCATTAAATTTCCATTTTTACTTAACAACTATACAAATCAACTTGATCAAATTTACACCCAAATCTATTGGCAAACTTTCTGCTAAACAAATAAAAAAAAATTAAAAATTAAAATACGAAAATAATAAAATGAACAGATGATAATAACCGGAAGAAAAATGAATTAGCAAAAGCTGCTCTCTGCCAACTTAACAAAATCATCAAATCCTATGAGCCCATCTCCATCCTCGTCATATAAATCAATCATCTTCTTGCATGAATCCAACTCTAACCCTCCTCCTCTAAATCCCAATTTACAGAAAGCTCTCCGCAACTCCTCTGCATTCACAAAGCCGTCGCCATTATCGTCAAAAACAGAGAAAGCTTCCTTTGCTTCTTCCAAGCTGGGTTCTTGATCCTGAAACAGAGCTGAAATTTCTTCTGCCTTCCATGCCGTCTTCTTCATGAATTCATTGTCATGGAAAGGGAGGCCTAAGGTTTCCATTACTTTAGTTATGTCTTCTGTGCTGATGCTGATTTGATCCTCTGTTTTGGGTTCTGCTCTGTTCTCCGATCTGCTTCGAATGTTCTTTGAAGGCGATGTGAGAAAAGATAGGATTTTTGAACAGAGTTTTCGAGAAAAAGTGAGGAGGAAGAACATTGACTCTAAGCCGAAGAACCATAAATTAACCTCTGCAGTTAGCTTCTCCATTATGTCTTGCTCTTCTTCTTCTTCTTCTTCTTCTTCTTCGTTTTTGGTTAGCTTTCTTTGAAACGGGAGAAAGTGGTGGGTATTTTATAGAGGTTTTAAGGTTTTATTATTATTTTATCTCAAAGCGTGTGGATTCCTTTCCAACCTGCTCAGAATATATTTAAATAATCCACCATAAATCTACATTCTATATGTTTAATATATAAAATAAAATTTATATGATATTATTTGAGTAAGGTCTCAAAACAACCCCAACTATTTTTGAAAGTAATGATTTGATCTTCAATAAAGTGTTATTTACTACGTTTTATTTGTCATACTTCTTAATATCATATTCAGGATATTTTATTATACCGTATTTAGATATAAGTCGTCATACAACAGAGTTCACTGATGGCGGCGAGCAGGGGGTGATCGACGGTGGTCTGATGATAATATACACGTGACAATCGATGTGGTCAGAGGCTACGATAGCCAAGAATTATAGTCATGGGCTTCATCTTGTCTACAATCAGTTTAACTATAAATTTGTCAAAATCAAAGCTTGTCAAATTTGAATTTTAATTATTTATTATTAAAAAAATTCATCAAAATTTGACAACAAGCATAATTAGAAAACGTTAAGATAATTGAATTAATCATAAAATGAAATCTGTTAAAAAGTAGCTCAAATGTTCAGACCGTCATAAAATATTTCACAAAGATAATATAATAATCATTCTTAATTTTATCCATTCGACCTTTGGCCAAATATTTCACATAAAATTAAGAATTTAAGGTTGAGTCGGGTTCGAAAATAAATTTGTTTTTTGACAAGCATACGGCAACACCCCCACCAAACCTTGATTTATGGGTTCGTTGGCACCGCCCTGGCAAAAATTCAAGATAGCACGCAATATAAGCTTAAAATAAAAATTGTAATTTTATGATTAGAACATCGGAGATGATATATAAATTATTATATCATTTGGAAAAGAATGGTAATGAGAATACCTTCACGGATGTTCGATGATGAATTTTATAATTATTTTTCTTTTGTCCTGAATTGTTGATGGTGGTTGACTTGGACAGAAATTTTCGAACTTACATTTTTATAAAGCCTCATAAATTCGTACATGAAAAAAAAAATGAGAGCAACTCATTGAAGATTGTTGAATTTGATATGTCAGTGAATTACAACTTGTTGAGAAATTAGGGCAAATCAATGCATGAATCAACAAACAGAAGAAAAAGCCCACCGATTTAATGAGGTTCAGCAATCTACATACTCCCTCGGAAGCAAGAGCGGCGGCTTTCTAATTTCAAGAAAAAGCAACAAATAATATATATTTATATATATATATATATATAAAAGTAGTGTTCAATATATAATTACAAAATTATCCATGTGCCGTATCGCGGGGGCAAATCCCAACCCACTTAACGAAACTCTACCAATTGAACAAATGCTCCAGCTCCACTCCGCTTGCGAGCTTCGCTCACCCGCTCTGCTAGTTGGCTCTGTTCCGCTCCAACATTTGTCCCATTTTTTGTATATGAGTCATACCTATCACAACTAAGAAATATAGTGTAAGGCAGAAGAGAGAAAAAGAGAGAAAAATGCACAGTAATGAGCAATAATTAATTTTATCAATTAAACATTTCTCATAAAATGATTTTCTTATGTATAGATGAGAAAAAAAAGGGTGAAGTTATATGTTTGTCTCTGCTTCAATTGTGACGTTATAAGAAATTTTGAGTATTTTACATGTATAGGTCTACGACACGGTTACCCTTTGACTCGGCTAGCCGAACTAAGTGGGTCTTGATTCTGCAAGGCCTGCTCGTTCGACTATGCTGAATTGAGGTTGTCAGTTGGCCATTGATGGTTGGCAAGGTTGGCTCAATCGACTTAGCTTTCTCAAATAGTTGTTCTAATATGAATGCCAACCATTGGTTTCTGGATGAGAAGCTCCTGCTGGCAGAATGACACCAGATTATTGAGCAGATCATGAATAACTGTAAATCCTATAGATAACTCATTCATTGACGAGGGAGTCATTCAGGATGTTTATGGCCTGTGGGCTATGCTCTTGCCATTTTTTTGGCCCCTCATAAAGAAATTCAGTGTCCATTATACTTCAAGTGATGCTGAACTCTTTTCCTGAGTCAGGTTGCGATAATAGAGAGATGAAGGCATTTTCTTGGTTTAGGTGGTTTACAAGTCAGATAAGTGAATCCTTTGGTCTTCTACCAGTGCACGCTTCTTATTTGTACTTTTGTATCTCCTAAATCATTGGATCTCCTCGAGGTTCGTGTTGGTACATTCCCAATATACAAAGATATATATGAGTTATTTTATGAACATTTCAAGAAGAAAATATTTCAAAAAACTGATCTAATTGAAATGATTTATTAATGTTAGTAGTGATTTATAAATGCTATGATTTAATGTAATTAATATGAACTATGAAAATTAATTTTTATGGTAGAAAGTAAGGATTTTGATAGTTTTATATCACCCAAAGTCATCGCCCTCTCTCATTTCCCATTTCCCCTCCCCGGCCCTCTTCGAACCCTCTCGCCTGTCGCATTTCCCATTTCCCATTTCCCCTCCCCAGCCCTCCATCTGATTTTGCCCAAATCCATCACTCTGGTGACCGAACTCGCTGCGATACCATCGTGAGTGAAGGCAACGACAGGATCGGCGTCGTTAATTTGGGGAAGGCAACGGCGAGATCGCCATAGTGATACAACGTTCTCCTCCTTCCGCTCCTTCCGCTCCTTCCGCTCCGCTTCTACTCGAAACAATTGAGGAAGGTAAGCCTGTTCACCCCTTTATTACTCTTGCGACAAATTAGCTTTATCGTGTTTAAAGATGGGTCTGGATTTGCCATTGTTAAAATCTAGAATAATGAATGCTGTATGCATGCAAGGTGTTTGATGATTTGTTTCACCTTGATGTTGAATTGAATCAAGAAAAATAATTTGAATATTGATCAGTTAAAACTGATGCATGTAAACTATTGAAAAATAATTTTAATATTTAATAAAATAAAATAAAATAATATAAGACTCATATAATAAAATAAAGAAAGATGTACACACATACCACACAATTCTTTGGTATTCCCATATCAAACATCTGAAGTTGGATGACCTATGTGGAAAAAGATGTATTTCACTTTTAAAAATTAAGTAATAATGATGTTTCTCATGTGACACTAAAAATTTGAGCGTTATATTGTCTGCAACGCCACTCTGACCTGTAATTGTAAAGTAGTTTTTCAACTGATCACACAACATTCAATAGTGAACAAATGTCATGTAAGTGACATTTTTGCCAAATTCTTTAGAAAAATCTAAATCAACGTAGCCATTGACTTTATATGTAGTTCTTCTGAACTGCAAACAAACATATTTTGTTTCACTTTAATACATGAGATTCCATTGATGTTTTTTGCAATGCAAATTATTCAAATTACTCATGTAGATAGTTACCGCATCTGACAAGACTACACGAAAACATGCCATAACTTACATAAAAGATCCTCCCATTGCATGAAAATATAGAACTGGGAACATAACTCAATCTCATTATCTAACTATGAATATGGAGTTTTTTTTTAAAAAAAAATTATGAACACAAAATTGATGAAAGTCTGAAATGCATAGTTAAGGGAATACCAAGAAATCAAGTTATATCCAATCCATCAAACAAAAATTCAGAAGAATTTCAGGAATATCATGAGACCTAGTGGCAAAGCTTTATCTCAACCATCTGATCATTCATCTAAAAATAAGAAATATACAAGCATGCCAAATCTCAATTACTTGGTATACCACAACACAATATACATTGAGTTAATAATTAACAAACATAATAAAGTTTTAACATATTAATCTCCCTCATTCAACATATTCAACCCAACAGTTTCAATGGATTCATGAAGGTAGATTAACTTGGACTACAATATATAAAAGCTCATAGAAAGATGGTTTATTGAGCATAATATTAACAGTCATCAAATAATAAGCATCACTGGAATTATTTGCAAGCTATTCCATATACATGGGGGCTTATTATAGACATATTTGGTACAAATATCATGTTAGTATTCACATTATAGAAACCTGCCTGCGAAATCAGCTCTCCTGTTTTTCGTGTGAGATGACACCCATCAGCAACAAACTGCTGGAGCGGATCAAGAATGCTTTGTGTGAAGCGGAGAAGAGAACCATCTTTACAATAATTGGAGGGTTGGATTGAAAAGAATACTTATTACAAGTTAAAGATTTCAAAAGAAAATGAGATTAAAAGAAGTACCGCGAGCCGCTACATGCTCCATAAATAAATATAGACCACCCACCTTTAACACTCTCTTCACTTCTGCACTGCCATACATAAAAAGTCATAGGGTAGTTTACATACATACCACACAATTCTGATGTATTTACATGCCTAACACCTAAAACTTTTTTTGAAATTCAGAATAATGTGGAATACCTTTATTGATATGAAAAGAGGTTATAAATAGCTCTTATATGAATCATAGAATAGGAAAGACTAGAAAAAGTAAGTAACACGAAATAAATCTAATCTTCATAAATTCTAATAGGAATAAATTATTTCCTAACATAACCTCTAACACCCTCTCTCAAGTTGAAATATGGTTAAAAATCATGTTCAACTTCGATTTAAAAACATCAAACAATGAGTGAGGAAGATCTTGTGAGGTAGAACTTAAAGTCTTCATCCCGTACTGCGGTTGTCATTGAGTGCAGCTCCTTTACTGTTTGTAGGTAGACAAAAGACTCTTATAGGTAATGCTGTAAGGGAGTTTGAAGGAAAGTATACAAATGTGATTGTCTTTGATGGCAGTTCCTGCAGTGTCTGTAAATAGACGAAAAATTCCTATATGTAATGTTGTTGGGGAGTTTGCGAGAAAGCAGACAGCCTGCATGAACAACTGACTTCTAGTTGATTGTGGTTGTATTTGATTACAGTTGCCTTTGACGACAGCTCCCACACTGTCTGTAGGTAGGTGGAAGGCTCCTACATGTAATGCGACAAAAGAGATTGTCGGGAAGTAGACAACTAATAGGAAAAACTGCAAGGTATGACTTGTAGAAAAAAACAAGGAAACACTTCAGAGGTATGTCTTGCTGCAGGAAAAAGGCTCTAGAGAAAAGTCTGATGCTGGAAAAGCTCCGGAGGGGGGTTTGCTGTAGAAAAAATTCTAAAGGAAAGCCAACTATAGGAAAAAATTTCTGGAAGAGGCCTGCTGCAGGAAAAAGTTTCGGAGGAGGCCTGCTGCAAAAAGCTCTGGAGGAGGGTCTGATACAAAAAAAACCTTAGAAGGAGGGCCTGATGCAGGAAAAAGTTTCAGAAGGTCTGCTGCAGGAAGAATTTCGGTGGATAACCTAATGTAGGAAAAAGTTTCAGAGAAAGGTCTGATGAAGTAAAAGACTCTGGAGGAGGGCGTTGATGCAAGAAGAATTTTGGTGGACTTACTGCAGGAAAAACTTCAGAGAGGGGTCTGATACAGGAAAAAGCTCTGGATGAGAGGGTTCATATGACTGTACGGATTTGAAAGGCTCCTGTGAAAGACATAAAAGAACAAGTTTGGCCTCAACATAACTCATAAGTATGTCATTGTAATCAAGACAATCTAGGTTGTTTTCTCATTTCATGTGCTTTGGGAAGACAATTGAGTGCACCACTGCCTGCCTCCAAGCTGCATGCTTAGGGTCATCTTCAAATGAGACAACCTCTATCTTATATAACATCCCCATCAATGCAACAACAATGCTAATCATCTGTAGTTGCATCACATATAGTGAAAGCCCTCCAACTATCAATGCCAGTCGTAAATTTCTATTCCCCGCTTGCTTCAATGGCCTCCCTAACTTCATTAAAGTTGAATTCACCTCTTTTTGCTCCCTCTCGATCCTCTCCAAAAGCTTGACCGGCACGAACCTTATCCCCTCCCCAAACTCCAAATCCGAGAAATCCAACATTAAAGGTCTGTGACTCCCATCAACAATACTTCTGGCAAGTGATTCAACGGAGGAGGAAAAGCCTTAAATGAGTCATGGAATAGGAAAGACAAGAAAAAGAAAATAATAGGAAATGAAAGATATAATACCTAATAACTACAATTAATCAATTGATAATAGTTATTTGGAGATTAAAGAACACCATAAAATAAAAAAAGACTAAAATAAGATAGAAAATAAATCCAATCTAAGAAAATAAGTCTAAAAGAGAAAATGAAATATTAGAAAATAAATCTAATCCTTACAACTTCTAATAGGAATAAATTATTTCCTAACATAACTTCTAATACACCACCATAAGTTGAAACATGGTTGAAAATCATGTTCAACTTGGATTTGAAAATATTAAATAATAGGCGAGGAAGATCTTGTGAGGTAGAACTTGAATTCTTCATCCCGTACTGCGGTTCTCATTAACTGTAGTTCCTTTAGTGTCTGCAGGTAGACGGAAGACTCCTATAGGTAATGTTGTAGGGGAGTTTGCAGAGAAGTAGTCAAATACATATGTCTTTGACTGCAATTCTTGCAATTTCTATAAGTAGTAAGAGAGTTTGCAGGGAAGTAAACAACTTGTAGGAAAAACTGACTTATGGTCGACCGCGGTTGTCTTTTTTACTGCATTTTCTGCAGTGTTTGTAATTAGGTGAAAAACTCATACAGATGATGCGACAGAGAAGTTTGTAGGGAAGTAGACAATTAATAGAAAAAGTTGCAGGGTATGACTTGTAGAAAAAAATAAGGAAAAACACCGGAGGGTCTGATGCTGGAAAGGTTTCGGAGGAAGGTATGATGTCGGAAAAGCCTTGGAGGAGGGTCTAATGCTGGAAAAGCTGCGGAGGAGGGTTTGCTGCAGGAAACGCTCTGGAGGAACGCCTGTTGCAAGAAAAAGTTTTGGAAGAGGTATGTTGCAGGAAAACATTCCAAAGGAAACCAGCTGCAAGAAAAACTCTGAAGTAGGGCCTGATACAAAAAAAAAAGCTTCGAAGGAGGGACTGATGCAGGAAAAAGTCCCGGAGGGCCTGTTGCAGTAAGAAGAACCCCATGTAGGAAAAAAGTTTCTGAGGGTCTAATAAAGGAAAAAAGGAAAAGGCTCAGGAGGTGGGGCTGTTGCAGAAAGAATTATGGTGGAGGACCTACTACAAGAAAAGATTCAGAGAAGGGTCTGATACACGAAAAAACTCTGGAGGTGGGGTTCCATATGGCTGGTAGAGATTTGAAAGGCTCCTGCGAAAGACATGAAAGAACAAGCTTGGCGTCAACATAACTCATAAGTATGCAATTGTAATAAAGCCAATCTATGTTGGTTTCTCATTTCATGTGTTTTAGGAAGGCAATTGAGTGCACCACTGCCTGTCTCCAGGCTTCATACATAGGGGCATCTTCAAATGAGACAACCTATCCTTTATACTATCTCCATCAAAGCAACAACAATGTTAATCATTTGTAGTTGCATCACATATGGTGATAGCCCTCCAACTATCAATGCCAATCGTTGTTTTCTAATCCCTGCCCGTTCCAATGGCCTCCCCAATGTCATTAAAGCCAAATTCACCTCTTTCGGCTCTCTCTCAATTCTCTCCAGAAGCTTATCAGCACGAACCTTATCCTCTCCTCGAACTCCAAATCAGAAAAATCCAAAGTTAAAAGTCTGTGACTCCCATCAACAATGCTTATGGCAAGAGATTTATTCGGAATGGAGCCGGGGAGGAAAGCCTGGAAGATAATAACAACGAAGAAAAATGTTGCAACAACCAAAATCTATTGGAGGAAGTCGTCCGTCTCGAAAAAAGGAAGCCAACAAGTCTGGATCTTGGTCAGTGGAAGAACGAATGACATAATAGGCTCACGAGCTGAGTAGTGATGTTTGCTTTAGTGAGACGTTCTTTTCCACAAAACCCATACGGAGAAAGAAAACCGAGGGAATGCATACCAAGCACAAGTGCAAATCAATGCAATTATGAAAAAGTTGTCATGGGAATTCCGATTGCAGGGAAGAGTCCCGACAATGGAGACAATCAGTGAGACGATTCCTGTTGCAGGGAGAAGCCAAACAGAGGCCTGAAGAGGAAGTTTCGTATATGACAGAGCAGTTCCAGCTTGATCTGGAAGAGGAGATTCGGCTCAGATAAAAGGAGAACAGTGTCTGGGGGGCCTACAACGGCTTTCAACTGCAGTAAAATTTTCTAGCCAACAGAAAGGAGTTCCGGCGGTAGGGACCTACAAGGGGGAGAGTTCTGACGGCTAGCCGACTGCATGGGAAAGGAGTCGGCGGCGGGAAAGGTTGTAGGATTGAGTTCCAGCAGGAAAGACTGCAAAAAGGAATTACGGGGCGGGAAAGGTTGTAGGATTGAGTTCCAGCAGGAAAAACTGCAAAAAGGAATTACGTGGCGGGAAAGGCTCTAGGAGGAAATTACAACGGCGGGGCCTACAGGGAAAAGAAGTTACTGATAGAAAAACTGAAAAAAAAAGGAGGCAAAGGAAGGGCATGCAACACGACAAAGTTTGTCGGTTGCATAGAATATGAAATTTCTGGCGATAGGAGACTCTGCGTTTTTTTTTCTGGCTCTGATACTATGTTGAAATTCAGAATAATGTTAAATATCTTTATTGATATGAATGAGGGTTATTTATAACCCTTAAATGAATCATAGAATAGGAAAGACAAGAAAAAGGAAATAACAACAAATGAAATATATAACACCTAATCTCTCCAATTAATGAATTCATAATAATTATTATGAGATAAAGGAAGCAACATAAAATAGGAAAGACTAAAATAGTAAATGAAATAAATCCAATCCAAAAAAATAAATCTAAAATAGGAAAAAAAATATTAAGAAATAAATCTAATCCTCATAACTTATAATAAGAATAAATTATTTTCTAATATAACTTCTAACAACTTTCATATTTACATGCATATCACTTAAATCTTTCACATCACATCAGCAATACCATCATCACTATCTTTTTTAAAATTGAAATACACATTTTCATACATTGATTTATGAAATCAAAGTGTTATAAGTGTAAATATAAAACTTTTGGTATTAGATATGTAAAAACAAAAAAAAAAAAATCATGTGGTATGTAGTAAATTATAGATTTAACATGAATCTTCTAGTTAATATTGATGAAAATTTTCTTCTGCTTTAAAAATGAATGCAAAGCAAAGTAGCAGAAACAAGAGAGAATAGTGGAACAGAATCTGCCAGACAATATGTTGGCACCATTACCTACAAAGAGCATTTACATACATGTCACCCAATTATTATACATTTACATATCTAACACTTAAACTTTACTTTTTACAATTATACCCACCCAAATCTTTCATATCACGTGAAAAATAATAATGCCTGATTAACTTTTAAAAAGTGAATTACACCTTTTTCTCATGTATAGATAAGGTGTCAAGTATGTAAAAAAGGAAATCTGATACCTTGCAATGTCAAATTGACATCCTCAACAGAACATAATACCAGTGTACCAATAACAGCATCCATGGAACCATCTTCCACAGGTAAATCTTCTCCAACCTACAAGCATATAGGACTACTGATGTGAGTAAATAAGAGAGTAAATAGGAGAGAAGTCTTTGATTTAAATTCATCAATCAATTAATATAATCACTGTATATAGAAATAGGACGACACAAATAAGATCAAATATTTTGAAATCAAATATAATCCTATCTATGTATATGAATAATTTAAAATCATATTCAACCAAAATGATAAACAATGTTAATTTCAATTAAAACAACTAATTAAAAAAAAGAAAGTTAACCTTAATTTATTGTGTTGTTTTATTGCTTTATATATATATATATTCTTTCACTATGAGAAACAAATAAATGACATGGATTGAAATCTTATGCTAAAAAGGTTTTTGACTAGCATCTAACAAGGAAAAAAAATCATCAGTACAAAATATATCGAATCGAAAAGCAATATTCAATCCACTAAAGTGCTACAAAATAAAATGAAATAAATTTTATCAATGCAATGTAAAATAATGTTGATAGAGATGATGAGTCAATTCTCTATATGATCAATAGGACTAATTACATTAAGTTACACAACAAAATTCCTCATAGGAAATCAAAATCTAATAAACAATTATCTCTCATAACTTTTTTGCTAAATAGAAAGCATAAAAATGATTTTATATGCCCTAGACTATAAAAAATAAATTTAATTGGAATGGGACAGTTTTTCACAGTTTACGAGTTTTGTTGCATTCATAAAATAAATGCAACAATGGACAAAGTTTTTGGTTCAAAATAAAGGTAAAAAATAGTCACTATACTAAAGAATGTTTATAAGAGGTGGCCTCAAATCTTAGCCCAAATAGATTTGAGGAGTCCAGGAATTAAATTTAACATATTAGATTGCTAATATTAAAATTGCATCATACAAATAGCTTAAAGGCCATTTTGAACTTTTTTCTCACAAACATATAATTTGAAGAAAATTCAAAAAAAAAAACAAATTTAACATATTCTGAATTAATGCAGCCAAAGTTATCAACAAAAGTAACAAACTATCCATGTAACTTTTTATGGTTTTATGTGTCATTAGGTTACAATGATGATGCCTTATGACATCATATTTCATACAAATTCAAGAAGTTCACCCCCAAAGAAGATTAAGCGATGAGCCAAGTCATTCAGAGGATAATTTCTAAAAAACCTACCCAATCAACTTTGAATCATAAAATCCGATCTCAAAATTTCTACTTTGAAACCCCAACTTACCCCTTCCATAAAAGTAAAGCTTGTTGGTTGCAAGCCAACCGCTAATGCTGCAACACGAGCATATTTCTCCATTTGTTTATTCGGATCAACACCGATAACATGAAGATCGTTGGCATGCGCATAGTACTTGAAATTAGGGCCCGCACCTACACCAAGCTCTAATACTTTCTTACAAGTTCCTTTAAATTTGCCAAAGAGATCTGTTTTAAAGCCTGCAACCTTCAACAAAGTAAAAGAGAGCATCTGAATTGTAGAGTAAAATACAGCACAAACTGCAATATGATATGCAATATCAAGGCTTTACTTTTATCCCGTTTTTACTATTGTATGTAGTAAGCATTGCTGCTGCAAATAAATATTTTTGTTAAAGGACAATGTCAAAGGAAAGTATGAGATAGTTATGGGTGCTATAAATGTAAATAGAAAAATTTTAGTGTGAGATATGTAATATGGAAAGTTTTAAGTGTTATGTATATAAATCCCCCTTTTCTAGCACAGCTTAGTTTATAATTTATTCAATAGTAAGACATCATATATTTATTTGTTAGGCTAGATTACTTTATACCTCTCTTGTTTGATTTTTCAAACAACATTCTCCACTTTATGTCTATGTAATTCATTCTCCAAGCTTCAGTTACATGAAGTCGCAAAAGTCATGTCTATGCCAGCATTTGACAGAGTTCAAGCTTAAACTTATGCTAATCATGAAAAATACTCATCATATTGATTTAAGTGAGCCAAGTATAGGCAAGCATACTCATCATATTGATTTAAGCGATCAAGTATAGGCAAGCATGATCATATATAGTTTTAAGCAAGAGAAGAATGGACATATACTTGAATATTCAGCTTGAGCGTGCGCTAAAAAACTTTTAATGTAAATTGATAGGAATATAGAAAACAATTCTCAACTTTATCGGGGCTTAGGATCAATTAAAAACTAAACCATAATATGCAATAACGGCATCGTACAAATTCAAGATAAATTGGAACAAAATCTAAATGGAAGCACACTCAAAGTAAACCAAAAAAGAACACAGGAATTTAACGTAGAAACACCCGAGAATGAGAAAGAAATACGGAGCTACACTACTAGAAAAAATTCCCTATGAAATCAAAGAATTTTATAGAGAATTCACGCCAATTTCCTCTCTACACACAAGTAAACTTAATGAAATCGCGCCACTAAGCGCTCTGGAAGCAGGCGTCGCGCCACTAAGCGCTCTGGAAGCAGGCGCGCATGTAGTGGGATCCTAATCGCCCATAAGGGAGTGTAGGAGCGCCCCTAGCTCCGTGAGCAACGCCCATAGCCCGGTGTCTTGGGGACGGGCACTCTGTTTGAGAAGAAAGTAGCGCCAGTGTGGGCGCTGGTGCACCCGAATACCTGCTGCTCGCTGGTGTTCCAACCAGGCTCCACGACACAACATAAACAAGCAACATCAAGACAAATGCCAGCCATTTTGAAAAACTCCTGGGTGGAGACTTTGATATTAGTTTGAATCAAGGTATTTGATCTGATAGATATCATTCATTGCTCCACATCCTTCTGTCCTTAAATTTTCCCAATCTTATTCCAATCTGGCATAGAAGAGGTGGTGTCGGCTATACTTGAGAAGGATTGCAGATCATAAAAAAAACTAAAAAAAAAACAGATAGAAGATGGGAAAATTGAACTGACCTCAGCTTCATAAGACTTCATACCTTCCTCCATAGCCTTAGCAAACAATTCCTCATACCAATCAGGCCTCGCAGCACGAAACTTCTCCTTCTCCTTGGAACCCTAATGCATAGAAATTGACGACTACTGTTCAGCACACGGACAAATGGTTAAGTACCTCTTATGGTCTTAAGAAAATTTTTCACCTTCGCTTCAAGGGCTAAGCTGTTCCCCGCTCTTACGTAAAGAGGAAGCAGAGCCGCCGCCGCCACTGAAGCCTCGAGAAGATGTCTTCTTCCGCAAGGACAGCATCTGATAGTGCAAGGCAAGCTCTGGAGCAACGCGGCATGTTTTTCTGCTGAAGCGTTCGGTTCCCTGTTGAGGTTGCTCGCCTGCGAGAGTTTCGAGGAAGTTAAGCGACGTGATGATAGATAATGCTCGGAAAGGGGAGTATGCGCGACACCGCAGGCGACTCCAGAGGGCAGCATTTTCCGGCCGTATTGATCTTACAGGTATGGACCATTCATTTTGCTGCCCTACCATTTCTAGCCTCTGAATTTTCCAGAGAAATGAGCTTCTTTTAAAGTGTGGTTATTTATTCAGGGATGGTTTGGCCATGTGGCTTGGCTCCTTTCATTTGAGAAGAAAGTCGGTCGTGGGAGTTTTTTGTTCCTTAACCTATCATGAAGAAGAGTTCTAAAATTACTCCATCAGAAGGGGAGTCCTAGAGCTGTTTGTCGTAGGGTGGTGTCCTCGAGCTGTTGGCTCCTTCGGTGGAGTCCTGGAGCAGTCGCGCTGGGGAGTGGTGTCCTGAAGTTGTTTGCCCCGGGTGGAGTCTTGCAGCTGTTCATCCCATGGTGGAGTCTTGAAGTTGTTTGCCTTGGAGTGGTGTCCTGGAGCTGTTCACCCCGGGGTGGAGTCATGGAGTTGTTCGCTCCGGGGTGGATAGTTCTCTCTGAAGAGTTTTTCCTTGGTGCTACTCGTCTTCTTATTTATGGCACGATTTATGCTCACCACACCTTAAAAGATGTTGAATCCAAATATATCTAGTAGATCGTACCCAATGAATGAAATGCTAGACTGAGGAAAGATGATTGAGGGTCTGTTTGGGGCAGCTGCAGTTTAGCTAGCTTATCCAGATAAGCTGTTTATCTCGATAAGCTGCTGATAAGCAGCTGATCCGGAGAAACTGTCTGACTGTTTGGTTTGTGCATTTGAAAAACAACCGTTTTTGGATAAATCACCATTCTGCCTCTGAAATGAAATTATAAACAGATACTCATTTTAAGAAAGCATAATTAATAGTTGACATCCTTAATGAAATAAAATTATATGTAGATACCCATTTGTCGGTGAGAAATTGTGGCAGCCAAAGGCATTAATTGAATTTGCTTTTAAAAAAAAAATTATACCTTCAGAAAAGATGCTTTGGTGAGACTTCGGATTTCTATGAGATGAGGAGGAAGGAGACGAAACGAACGTGTTTCTGTCGAGAGAGGGGGCAGGTCTCGTGAGGGAGGCGAGGCCAAGCTCTATTTGGCACAGAGAGGAGAGGAGACGAGCGGGGCTTTGGTGCGGCAAGGAGTTGAGCGAGAGGTCTTCGTCGTTGAGAGGAGAGGCGAGCAGAGGGGGGGGGGGGGGGGGGACTGATGAGCTAGGGCAGACGAGTGAGGTCTCGGTCGTGCACGAGAAGGAAGCAGGCGAGCGTGAGATGACAGACGAGCACTACGGGGCCACATATGTCTTTCGCTTAAACAAAACGCGGATCGCGGGGTCCTACCTGCGATTCACGTTTAATACAAACCTGCGAACGTCGTTTTTAAAAACGTCTCCAAAACAGGAAAAAATATTGCACCTGGACTCCGCACGTAGAGTTAAGCGCGGAGTCCAATGAAATCACGTCACGTGGAGATGTAAAAAAAATCATCCTGGTAACACATGAATATTCTTCCCATGTTATTCTGTGTTATTCATGTATTATTCTATATTATTCAGGTTTTATTGTGTTATGGGAATATTCCCGGTATTATAATAACACAATAACAGATCAACAACACTTGATAACACATGAACAACACAATAACACTTGAATAACACAGGGGAATATTTTCTTGTGTTACAGGACAAAGTTTATTTTATTTTTCTGTCACCGTCACGTGACGTGATTTCATTCGACTCCGCACATAGAGTAACTCTACGTAACACATTATCCAAACAGCCAGTGGCGTTCTTAAAACACCACCACTGTGAATAAGCTCCCTCAGCTTGCCACGGGATCCATGCAGGCTATTTTTGTGCATACACTAACAATGCAAGTTGAGCTAAATTAAAAGTGATTTAGTTTGAGTTCAAATAATCTTGATTCAAACACTTTAACTTTATTTGGAATATTCTGATTATTAATTGAATTATCTTGAATTTGACATGTTTATGCTCACATCTAGTGGATTGAGAGAAGGGGGGGGAATCTATTGAACTCAATAACATTTAATGCCAAGGTTGTTGAGATATATAAACATTGAAATGATAGTCCATAATTGAATAAATCAACTCAAACCTTGGAATTTATGCTAAATTACTATCCCAAGTGTGTTATTGTCCAACTAATATACCTTAATTTGTGTTACCATTTAATAATTATTATTTTAACAATTGACAGATAACAAACTAATTATATACCATTAAGAAGAAAAAAAAATAATTATAGGACTTGAAATATATAGTGAATTATTATAATTGGCATAGACCCCATTCTTTTTCCTTTTTAGGATTTTGCATGTAAAAATTTTGGCTCATTATATTTCGGTTATTTATTTATTTTTATGTGCAATGAATGCACATGCAATGTTGAAATATTAATCTCTAATTCTGTCGTTTCTAGTATTCTAATATGTAATAACAATAATAGCATTATTATTATTATTATATAACATAGATTTAATACAGATAACCTTAGTTGGATTAGCTTGATTAATATAGTTTATACAACATTGTCTAAGAGGATTTACATGCATGCCGCATAATTTTAATACATTTATACAATAAACACATAAATTTAATATTCATTTTTTTTTTAAATATTTTTATAATCATATCAAAACATTCTTTTATATTTAAAAATTAACAATAATAACAATTTGGTGTGGTATTAAAAATTTAATATCTCTATAAATAAATATTCAATTTTAAATGTTGCATGTATAAATATATAACAATTTTTAGCCACATACTTTTAATTCCAAGTAGGGCTGCCAAAACCGCTCGTTGTTCACGTATAGCTCGTGTTCGGCTCGTTAAGAAGCTTGGGGTTTATTGGTTCGCTAAGTTAAGAAGCCGAACACAAACACTTTTTTTGTGCTCGACATATTAACTAACCAAACACGAACAAGGATTTATTTGTTCGTTATATATATATATATTGATGACTAGTATTTTTAAAAATTTTAATTAATTACAAATCCACAAAGATTTATAATGAATTAAAATTTTTAATTAAAAAATAGATTAAAAATATTTTAAATTGTATTTAAATGATGTTTTAATATAAACAATAAGATTCAAATCTTGACCTAATACTTAACATTTTCTATGACTGCATGATTTGGGTTCTCAAAACGACACTTTGTTCAAGAACAGCTCGTGTTCGACTCGCTAAACAAACGAGCTGAATATGAACACATTTTTTTATGTTTGAAATATAAAAGAGCTGGACATGAATAATAATAATTTTTAACGAACATAACACTACCAAGCCTCCTTTACACCCTTAATTCCAAACAAATATTACGTCTGGAGTTCAATGAAATCACGCCACGTGGAGGTGACAAAAAAATAAAAAAAAATCATTTTAGCACAAGAGAATATTCCCCTCGTGTTATTTTGCGTTATTCATATATTATTTTGATGATATTCATGTATTATTATGTTATGAAAATATTCCTGATGTTATAATTACACAACAACACATCAATACAACCGCAATAACACCTGAACAACGCGGAATAACACGAGATGAATATTCTCATATGTTACCGAACATGATCATAAGATAACGAGTTATTTTTTTATGTTAGCTCCACGTGTAGGTGTTTCATTGGACTCCAAACTAACTGAATTTTTACTTAATTCCCAAGATTTTTAAGGGGAAATTGGTAAAGTAAAATTTAATTTTAGTAAGTAATGCGAAAATCTCCCCAATGCGCATTTCCGGGCAGTAAGTGCGAAAACACAAAATTGACGAACGAGAAGCCCTAATCGTCATCGCTTCTCACGGTAGTTCTTGCTTGCTTGGATCTGTCTGAAGAAGCCATTTCCTGTGGTTCGTCTATGTGATAGATTCATATTTCGGTCTCTAAAGGTGAGATTTCTTGTTGTGCATTCTTATTAGATGCGAAGCCGCCGCAGTATCCCGATCAACCGTTCAAAACAAGACCTTGGAGGAATTTCTAAATCCCTTAAATATTGATATTGGCAAGATTTCGCAAATCCATTGTTTAGATATATAAAAAACCAGGGTATAAGCAAGCCTCTAAAAGATTTACTTTCAGACAGCTGAGCTTTCGTGTTATTCTTGTTCGTCTATCATCATTTACTCTGCTTATATTTTCTATACTATTTTTGTGTGTATTAACATTAGTTGATATCGTTCTTCGTGCATTATGTTTCTTCTCTTGTTTATGATTGATTGATTTCACGAGTTATTGGGCTTCCTTACAAGTGTAAGCTGGTACCGAGCTTCTATATATCCATGAGAAAATATTTTAACATTTTTTTAGTGGCCATATCTACCATGTAATATTTTATTTTCTTAATCCTTTGGCCTGGGTAAATTTTTATGCCAACATCAAGATCATGCAAGAAAATATACGTGAAAAACAAAGCAAAGCAGGCTTAAGTATGCATTTAAGGAAAGGGTTAATAAATACAACCTTATTTATATCGAAGAGTGGAATGTGGTATATGAGATAATAGAAGTTAGATATTTCGAGAACCATTGGATATAAATTATTGCTGTCTTTCATACTTGAGGTCTTCTTGTTAGATGGTTATGCATCACATTTATGTCTTCATTCGTCACTCTGTAATATTGTTTTTCTTGTAAGATGTATGAATATGCTAATGGAAAATTATTTTTTACTGTTGGCTTAGTGAGGTATCATTAACTTGAAAGTTTCCAATAGCAGAAACAACAATATGAAGTCTTAGATTTAGATTTTAAAGCTTGTAGCAATTGCATGCCATGTACTATAAAACTGATGGAATAATATATTTACTGTTACTGCTATTCCATTTTTGGATTTGAGTTTAAGAATGGCTGTATCACTTTGACTTTCTAGGTTTTATTTTCCATATGTATTTAGGTTTGATGTTAGTTTCCCGTCGTGCATCACTCGAGTACCTCTGCTGATAAGTTTAGAGACCATGTTTTGATTTCTTGTTGTTTCTGATTATAAAGTTAATTTTGCATTGAAATAGCAGCTTTTGATGATAGATTTTTTTTATTCAGGTTAATTAATAGTTGTCGAGTCCTGATAAAAGAATACTACTCCAGACTTGCATGGATACTGAATACCTTTGTTTTAATTTTCTTACTGTAGCCAGTACTTGTCTATTGGTATGGCAACCTACGCAGGAAGAGTCCCCTCTAATGGATGTGTATATGTCTGTAAATTGCCACCTGGAACTGATGAGAATATGTTGGCTGAATATTTTGGCACCATAGGGTTGCTAAAGGTATGGGTTTCACAAGGTATTATGGAAAACCATCACTAAAGCTCTATTTTTTTTATTGTAGCTGCGCTCTGTAATCATGAAAAACTATTTTTCATGCGAGTTTTTTATTAGGTTCTTCTCTCTTTTTTTTTTAATTTTTTAGAAGGACAAGAGGAGTGGCCGACCAAAGATTTGGTTGTATCGAGACAAAGCTACCGATGAACCAAAGGGTGACGCGACGGTTACATATGAAGATCCCCATGCAGCTTTGGCTGCTGTGGAGTGGTTTAATAACAAAGATTTTCATGGAAGCATTATTGAGGTTTATATAGCAGAGTCAAAGACGAAAGAATCTGTGGAACAATTTAATCTTGTTGGAGGTCCAAATATATCTGGTGATTTAGTAGGCCAAGACGAAATAGATGGTTCTGGAGGTAGAGGCAGAGGGCATGTTGATGCTTTAGGGAAATCATGGCAGCAAGATGGAGATTGGTTATGCCCAAATACAAGGTCTGTGCTGTGATATTGGTGAGCAACCCTTTCTTTTGCTTTTCCATATTTGCGAAACTTTTGCGAGGTTAAAATACTATTTTTCTTATGCTTCTTTATTTTAGCAGTTGTTCCAATGTAAATTTTGCCTTCCGTGGTGTATGCAATCGGTGTGGGACTGCTCGTCCTGCTGGTGCTAGTGGAGTAGGAGCTGGGCGTGGCGGGCAAGGAAGAGGTCGTGGTAGCAATGAGACTGGCGGGCGTGGTCGAGCAGTAGCTGGCCCTACTACTGGACTATTTGGTCCTAATGATTGGCCATGCCCAATGTAAGACTCTTTTCGATATCAAACTGGAATTATTTAGGAGTTTCTTTCAGAACAATATTTATTTGCTTATTTTTTGCATGGAATTTGTTATTATAGATGTTTTTGAATAGTTCTTTTGTTGTATGAAGTTGGAAAACGAGTAAGAACTCCACCCCAAGTTCCTAGGGTTAATTCTAGGATTGGGCTTTTTTTTTAATTTTTATTTATAGCTGAGGAAAGATAACCTGGAAAAAATGATAGAAGGAAATACAGAAGATGGAAAAGACTAAAAGATATTGGAGCATTCCTTCGTGGGTTAATGTTTTCTAAATAATCATGCTTTTATCACTTGATTCCCAAATTTTATTATTTTTATATTATGCTTTGGGAGCAAAAAATGTAGATATGATTTATTTCTTATTTCTTGAAAGCATTTGATGAAGACAACGTAGAGATCATTCTAGGAAAAAAAAAGGAAACTAGTCCATAAAAAAATAGAAAAACTATTTACATCTATGTAAACTTAATCGAATTCTAGCGAACACACACACACTTAATTCTCCATATTCTCCATTCAAAGTTCCCACTCGATTCTTAGTGTTTTTAGGTTGATTTTTTGCCATGTTAATTTATAAATTCCTTACATTCTATTTTTGCTTCTTTGCGCCAGCATATTTCCACCAAAAAGTATGTAATAACTTTATGTTGTTCTTTTTTCCACTAATGAACTTGTAATATCGGCATCTGTGCTGGTTTCTAATGTGAATTTATTTTCACTTATGAATTGACTAATAATGCCTGTGGAGTATGTTTTGTCTGGCTAGGTGGAGCATGACAGATAGACTTTCCTATCAATCTCCGATATATTTTTTCAGCTGATAGTTTTTTCTTCAAAGATTTTTTTTTTGCTTCGTCCAACTTTTTTTTTTATTCTGATTAATAAGTGTCACAATCGATTTAGCAACCTAGTTTTCCAAGGGAATTTTTTTATTTTCGAGTTGGGAAATAAATATGATTTGCTTTGACCATGAGACTTAAGAGAGTTCAATTTCAAGGAAATACTTAATTATCCAAGCTCCTTTATGTCAAATTTCTTGTTTAAATATTTTATGAAATTTTGCTTTTTTTATTCTTTCAGATAATAATGATATTATCAACATCCTTTAGGAGTATTGTCACTCTAAATCTAGCTGAATGGTTGAAGAAGGAACAATCTCTTCATTTTTATTTATACGATATTCCTTTTGTCATTTTACCAAACCGCCTGAACCGGGCTCTCTGTGACTATTTTATCCCATATATGGTATTCTTTAAGTTGTTCTTTCTTTCAAATAATTGTGGGATGGTCATGTAAAGTTATCCTACTATTTCCCCATGCAAGAAGAATCTGTTCACTTCATATTGTTGAAGCAACCAATTGCAGTGGGCTTGGGAGTCAGTATTAACCTTATGTCGCTATCTATTTTTTGAAGGTTAGGCTTAGGAGAGATATCTCCCACTACTGTAACACTTCAGTTGGCTGATCGTTCAACCACATATCTAAAAGAAGTTGTAGAAGATGTATTGGTAAAAGTAGATAAATTTATATTCTCTGTGGATTTCATTGTGTTAGATATTGAGGAAGATAAAGAAATTTCAATCATTTTAGATAGACTTTTTTGGCCACTAGAAGAGCTATGATAGATGAACAACAAGATGAGTTAATTATGAGAGTCAATGACCAGGAATTTACATTTAATATATCAAAGTCAATGAAGTATCCAGCTAATGGAAGAGATGATGAGTGCTTTAGAATAGAGATTAGCGATCATATAAAAAATATTTATTATGCTTATGTTTGCCAAAAAGGCAAAGGTCTCTTGATTTACAACTCCATATGATTGCGTGCAACTTCTACCAACTGCATTTATGTTATATATTTCAATAGAGCTACAACCTCTGTGCTTGAAATTGAAGGCCTATTCGCAACCTACACCATTCATTTCTTTAGTCTTATTGATAATCTCCACCATGTTAATTTTTTCGAATGCATCAATTTTCTCTCTCATAACATTTCTCTGTTCCTATTTTGATAATGCTTGATAAAGTGATTGGAATAGAAAAATTATTTAGACCCACTATGAATCTTCTAATGTGTGGAGAAAGGCATTTAAGTTACACATGGTGAGACAATCGATAGAATGTTTATCTTGTGTAAATATGGGTGATTTTTAGCCATAATAGGAAGTTCAAGGTCAAGTTTGTACATGCAAATAAAGTTCATAGCTTATAATGCCTTCATTAATAGTTCCCAGGAGGACATTTTGAACTCGCATTAGCTATAATACAACTTTTTTTCTTGGGTACATATGTAGAAATCTCAATTACAAATATGGGCAGATTTTTGTTTTGCATGTGTAAAAATTCAGGAGTGGACTTAGCGGCATTCAGAATACTTTGTTCAATGGTATTTGGATCATCCTGTTCTTGAATGGGCATATATAGGATGAAAGGTAGTTCTAGAGGGCCAAAATTGGTGTGACCGCTCTCTTTAGTTTCTCCTAGCGAAACCTTCCCATGAAGATAAGAGTATTTGAGATTAGATTTATTTTTTAGCATATGTGAGCTCATTATATCTATAAAATTTTCCATATGGAAGATAAGATTTGCAAATTTTTGTATAAAAGAATAACTAAAAAACACAATTAACCACTCCGGTATCCGATTTCTTATTTTTATTTTTATTATGAATATGAACAAAAACACAATTATGAATATGATTTATTTTTTTTATTTAGTGGGATTAAGGCTTTGTTGTTGTTGTTGTTATTGTTGTTGTTGTTGTATGAATATGAACAAAAGAGATCGATTCTGGCATTATAGTTTCATGATCATTAGACATTCCAACATGTGGATAGAATTTGATAAGGCATTCCAGGATATTATACTCTGATATTTATGATGGAAAGTCTATTTATCATGTTTATTGCAGAAATTACATCTTCTCCCGAAACAGTTTTGGGATATTTCTTTAAATTAGTAATGTTTTGGTGGAGTATTAAGTTAACATATTTATTAGAATGATTCATGAATATCTTTTTGAAGCAAGCAGTGATAATTTAATGAAAATAATCCTTTTCTTTGTCAGACTTATAGTCTTCAATTTTTACCCCAAATTGATTCTGAATAGAATGAAATGTAGGAATAATGTTGATAACAAAGATTTTTGTTTGATCAATGTACCGAGTCTTCTACCAAAACAGTTTTTCCTTTCTATGTTTTTAATCTCCTTCCAAAACAGTCATTGATCATTTTTTTTGTCTATTTAATATAATATATTAATTTCATCTTGGTTATTGAGTTAGCTTGTGAGCCAGTGAGCCGTGTCTTCTTAAGCTAGTACTCGAGCTCGTGGCTTGATAAGCTCCACTCGTGAGCTCATTAGAGCTGAGTTCGAGCCGGCTCTCTCTCTCTCTCTCTCTTTCGCTTAAATCCTTTCTTTTCCGTTCCATTGAGTAGCTTGGCATTATTTGTTAGATTTAGTTTTGTATAATGTTTAATTTGTTAGCACTCAAGTATTTATGATTGGTTATACAGGTGTGGAAATATCAACTGGGCAAAGCGTTTGAAGTGTAATATCTGTAACACCAATAAACCAGGTCACAATGAAGGTGGTGTCAGGTAATATTGTATCATGAGACATCTCTACAGTTTGATATGGATTTTCACTTTCTTCATGGTTATTAAATTTGAAGCATCAGCTGTGCCGTATGTTACCTGAAATTCTAGAATTAAGTAAATGGGCTTAATGGCTCCTTTTCAGTGATGTTTGCTGAGATTTCCTAGTCTATGAATATCTATGAGCTGCTGCAATAAACATTCGAAAGTCTAGATTTACTGTTTTGCTTGCTTGAGCTATTTTTGGGTGATTAATCTCATGTGACATGTTCTCTTTTGCATTTGTCTGTATTAGTAAAATTGCAAGATTTGACTTCTTTAGACACAGTAAGTAAGACTTGCGAATTTGATATTTTCTTAGAAAAAATGGGTGAATAAATTTAAGATATTAATATTAATTACCATCAGCAACTATACACACAACAACAATAACAACAATAACAACGATAACAACAATCCTTTATCCCAACGGCTACATGAATCCTTATTCTCAATTGTGTCCTTTTGAGTGTCATATTTTCATTTAATTCGAATAGATTAAGATCATCTTTTTATACAACACGCCCAAGATTTTTTTTGCGTCTACCTCTACCTTCTCACCATAAGTCACATCTAAATATCTACTCTCCTAATAGGATCATTAGAGGTCGACATTTTAGAGGTCGACATTTAATGTGACCAAAACCATACAAGATGACTCTAATCTTATTTGCCACTTGAGCTGCAACCACCTTTTCATGGATATATTCATTTCACATTTTCTCTCTAAGTGTAAAGCCATTCATCCACCCAAGTATTTTCATCTCAACAACACATTAGTTTTATGTTTCTTCTTTTTAGACCAACCTTCTGCACCATAAATCATTGTAAGTCTAACCGCCATCTTATAAAATTTTCTTTAAGCGGCAGTTTTATATCACACAACAGGTTCACTTTAGAGTTCTGATGCATTCCTCCACTTCAACCATCCAACTTGAATTCTACTAATAACATTCCGATTTATATCACCAATCACTTTGAACAATAGACTCGAGATATCTAAAACATTCACTCCTTTTTAATGACTTGATCATCCATTGTTACAACCTCGCCACTAGATCTACTGCCGCGAAATTACATTCCATGTATTCAATTTTTGATCTACTCAAACGAAAGCTTTTAGAGTTAAAAGTTGACTTCCATAATTCAAATTTTTCTTGAACTCTTTATATAGACTTGTCCACAAGAAAGATATTATTAGCAAAAAAGCATACACCAAGGTACATCCTTTTGTGAATGTCCAGTAAAAGCGTCCATAACTAACACAAAAAGATATGAGCTGAAAGCTGTCCTTGATGTAATCGAACTGAAATAGGAAAAGACTTGGTCAATTCCTTTTCAGTTCAAACATAAATTTATGTGGATGGATATCATGTATCTTTTAGTTATCTTGTCAATTTCATAATTTCTGTAGGTTAGCTTCCATGAGTAATTTAGTCGGGCATGCAGTATATTCTCAATTGCTTTCTTTTAGCGTCCATTTTGTCACGGATGCTTATGGATATAAAAAACATGTTAAGAATGATCAAGCATATTGAGAGTCTCTTTGTGTATTTTCATCAAGGTTAAAATAGTTTTGTACAATTCGTTATGCTTGCAATGCAACTACTTGTATTTGAATGTTTTTTTTTTTTTTTAATAACACCGGTGTCTACTGTAGAGAATTTTCTGGATTGCCTTTTATAACAATGGGAACCTAAAATTGTACTTGTTGGTTTATTTCTGTATTTGAAGCTTACATTTACTTATTGGAATTTATAGAGGGGGTCGAGGTGGTGGTTATAAAGAACTAGATGAAGAGGAAATAGAGGAAACAAAAAGACGCCGTAAAGAAGCTGAGGTTTGCCTCATTTAACATTTTAAGTTGTTTTTGAGCCATGTAAATTTTTTTTAAATTAAACTTCTAGGATGATGGAGAGATGTATGATGAATTTGGAAACCTCAAAAAGAAATACCGTGCAAAAGCCCAGCAGGCTGAAGCTGCTCAAACCCTTCCAGGTTCTGGTCGTGCTGGATGGGAGGTTGATGAATTAGGTAACTTGTTCATCTTGTTTTTTGTGCTTTTTTTTTTTAACTAAATTGTTTTGTAATGAATAATTTCGGAATTAATTGAAGAAAGCACACACAACTTAGAAGTTTGTGATTATTCTTGAGCACTAACTATTGTTTGGTTACGGACTCAGCTTCAGGAAAATTACTGTATGATAAAATATTGGTTTATTATCTGTAAGCCACATTCCTGTCAGTTTTTTCCTGAAAGAATGCTTGATCTTTCTATGCAGTTAAAAAAAGAATGGTTTCTCCATGAAAATAGAATTTATTTTAATCCAAATTAAAGCTTCACAATATGATTTTTAGTTAAACATCCAATGTTCATTTTTATATTTGGCTCCGAAAACGGAGGATTTTTTGATTACTTGAAATAGTATTCACGTAGCTCTCCATTGCCATTCTCTATTGACTCTTTCACATTGATGAACTTTGTGGATGGTACTTATAATAGATTTGTGCAGTGTGGAAGCAATGGTGTGGAGTCTGGCCGTGTAATAAGCAGGATTCAAGCACGTGCAGATATATTCATTCATTTATGCATATGCGCCTAGCAACATATAAACTACTGAATTTGAATGTTTAACCAAACCTGTGCTCATTGCAGTTACTTTAAATTCTTCAAATTCCTCAAATCTCTGCTGTTTTGTCTGATTCTTAAAAAACCACTCAATGGGTTTAAATCTTGATACTGGTTTGGCTGATTCCTATATGATGTAGCGGGCTTGCTACTTGTGCCATCACTAAGTTTAAGAAAATCTTTTGCATTGAACATGTCTAGACTGTCGTGCATTCATTATATTGCAGTGGGCTTCTCACCTGTGCACAGATTGAAACAAAATCAGATTTGCATTTAAACCTTGGTTTAACTTTTGTGGCAAAGTCCTCAGTCCAGAGTCCAGACCCAAAGACACTGTCACAAGCTGAAGTCGTTTGTCCATTTAGAGGGTATCTGGACTGTACTTTAGTGCCATCACTAAGTTTAAGAAAATCTTTTGCATTGAACATGTCTAGACTGTCCTGCATTCATTATATTGCAGTGGGCTTCTCACCTGTGCACAGATTGAAACAAAATCAGATTTGCATTTAAGGCTTGGTTTAACTTTTGTGGCAAAGTCCTCAGTCCAGAGTCCCAACCCAAAGACCCTGTCACAAGCTGTGGTCGTTTGTCCATTTAAAGGGTATCTGGACTGTACTTTAGTGCCATCGCTACGTTTAAGAAAATATTTTGCATTGAACATGTCTAGACTGTCCTGCATTCATTATATTGCAGTGGGCTTCTCACCTGTGCACAGATTGAAACAAAATCAGATTTGCATTTAAACCTTGGTTTAACTTTTGTGGTTAACTTTTGTGGCACAGATTGAAACAAAATCAGATTTGCATTTAAAGCTTGGTTTAACTTTTGTGGCAAAGTCCTCAGTCCAGAGTCCAGACCCAAAGACCCTGTCACAAGCTGAGGTCGTTTGTCCATTTAGAGGGTATCTGGACTGTTTCCTTTGTATATGACGACTTATCTGAAACTATTTCCTTTGTATATGATGGTTTGTCTGCGACTTTCCTGCTAAACCCTCATGCTTCATCATATTATTGTGATGGTATTTTAACTAATGGGGAAAACAATTTCTATAGTTCTTGCTGATCTTTTATTTGGAATGTTTCTTTACCTCGTGCTCTTTTGTTCCTTTTTTTGTTGCATTTCTTCTTCTGATATTCTGTAATTTCGTTCATTTTATCTGTGCTTATTCATATATTTTCTCTGTAATTCAATCATTAACATCTTGGACTTCTAGTTTCATCTTTATTTGTGGTTTTTTTTCATATCCTTCTTCGTGCTTCTTGTGTTGCAGCATTAAAATTTGTAACCAATTTTTTTTTTACTGCTAGCCCTGTTGTGTCTGCTTGTTGGTGAAACATGACTCTTTTAGGCCATATTTATTTTTGTTTTGATCACTGGCACACACTATGTAAAGGTGCTGGTAAAAACACCAGCCTCAGATATTCCATAAAAAAACCACCCACTTTGTATTCCTTGCCATTGCATACAGCAGAAGTAATTGCTGCGAGTAACTTGTAGCCTGTGAAATCCTTCATCACTCTGTGGCTCCTTGGTTGTAACCTCATTTGGGTGCCATTGCAATTCATAGGAAATTAGGCGATTTATTTATTTATTTACTTTAGATGAGAATTCATTTCTCCTTCTACTTGATTGTACTCCAATATTAATCTTGGGATTGGCTTTTCCATGCTTACAGCCTGTTCCTGGTGTCATGGCGATCGGTAGGGATTATGAGATTAATTTGTTTGTTGCTTAGTCTTGAATTGATTTCACCCTACTTTAATGTGCGTTATTATTAATTCTAGGATTGGCTTCACACACTCCGCGTGAGTCCTTCCCGGCTATGTTCCTATTTTACCGGGTTTAGAAGATTGAACTTGATGGGCTTAATTAATTGATTCCATCTTGGTGAGAAATGTATCCGACTTGAGATTCAAATTACACTATTGGTCTCTTGCTAATGATTCCTTTGTGCCTTTTTTCTGTGAAGAGCTGCTGTTGAATTTTTGGACGAGCTAATCTTTTTAAGCAGCCGATGGCCAACTGGTTAATTTAATCTCAACATACCTTTTAGTTATTTTCTTTTTTTGTGCTATAATGATGGGAAAATTATTACGTCCGGATGAGTTCCGTCTTGATGGGTCTGGATTGGTAGTATTCTGTGGTATTACAGTTGAATACCACAAATACTATCACAATACTACATAATCGTTCCTATGAAATCTGGATGTAATACTCGCTACCCATTGACCCAATCTTTGTTCTCTCTTGGAGGGATATATAACTTATCGATATGTTTTTTGGACCTCCTCGTCCTGTACAATCTCTGCTGCTGCATTTTTTTTTTAAATATTTGACAGTTGAAATTTGATCTTTTAGTGTTTGAGCATTTAATGCATAACCATATCAACCATCTCAACATTGTATTTTTTCCATGATCAACTTGGTCATTCGAGCTATTTTGTTTTCATGCAACAACATTTTGTGCGAGTGTATACAATAGGGTTATTTTTTTTAACTATTGTAATGCAAAGTCTGGTGGATTTCAGTTTGATCACGTATTTTAGTTGAACTTCAGAGGTCTTCAATTAATAGTCATTTCTCTTTTTTTGAAACTTCTTTTGCTAGGGCTTTATTGGATATTTGTTCTTCACACTCGCCAAAATTATACAGCATGTGTTCTATTCCATGTTCTCAGCTTTTTTGAAATTCTTGTTTTAATTGCATAATGTAGTTTCTAATAAGAAAGACCATTCTACCTTTTCCCTTCTTTTATCAACTTCATTTGACAGTGCTACTATAAATAATGGACAGAAATTTTAGTTTGCTATTAGTCCTTGATGTATTCTGATTTCCAGTTTGATATTTTTGTCTGCTTGAGAATCCAATTGACGATAGTTAGAAGTACCCACTTTTATGACTTAAAATTTGTACTTTAATTTAATTTCATTTAAGGATTTTCATTTAAGTATTATCTCTAGTTGCTGACCCAAAATTAACCCTCAACTTTCTCATCCAAACTTGTGATTGACAGTGGTGGTTTCAGAGTATCAATCTGGTTTTGTTCTAGGGATATCGATTGTATAAGCGAGTTTCGTGTTAATGGTGAAATTTATAATAAGACTAAGAAAGCAACTCCATATCTTTATATTTGCCGTTGGAAACTTGTAATGGATATGATTGTGCATTATGAGAATTGATTAGGTGCTTAATGAGAAAGGAAGAAGTGTGTCGAAGATATGTTGAAGCTCTTAGCTATTCAAAACATGTGCGATTTAGCCTTGATTGATATATGAAGTGGCTGTGGAGTTGAGACAAAATATTCAATTACATTAGGATTAGTTAGATGATTAGTTTTGAGTTCATATATATTGTAATGGTTATAAGGTGCTTATTAAGGATATTCAAAGTGGGGCATTCTATATATGCTTTGTGAAAATTTCTAATCAATGAGACTAACTGAGAAAATAATTAGAAGATAAAAGGCTTAGAATTAATATAATGATAATCAAGTATATGATATGCAGTTTTAGTTGGTGTGCTGCAAATTATTTTTGATGAAATTTACATACCACAATTCTTATGCATTTATGTATCTAACTCCTAAAGTTTGATATTACATTTATAACACTTTGATATTAAAATTTGTGTTTGAAAAGCCCTATTTTACTTTTAAAAATTAAATGATAGTGGTATTTTTGATGTGATGTCAAAGATTTGAGTGTTATGTATGTAAATATGAAAGTTTAAGTTAATATAAGATGTTATGCATGAAAATGCCCTATTATCAATTAAATACTATTTGAAGGTAAAATATTATTTTAGGTATGATAAGTATTTTGAATTTATTACACATAAGAGTGAGGATAATAATGGCGATCAAGCTTCCAGAGTTAAATTTGAGTGGATAAAATGGAGAAATGGTTTTTAATAAGAGGATATTATGTAACAAATGCACTTATACAATGTATATAATGAGTGGTTAAATGTGAGGAGTATTATGTAATAAGAGTATATTATGAGATTAGATGTTATTTTTAATAAAATTCAATTTGGTTGAGTGAGATGAGAGGAAGAAAGCAGAAAGAAAATTGCAATGGCAGAAAGTATTTGAACCGAATCACATTTACCTCATTTGGTTGAAGACACAAAAGGGGCATATACTCAATTCTTATGCATTTATGTATCTCACACCAAAATTTCCATCTTTACACTTAGAAGTGCAACACCACCCAATTATTTCGTATCACATCAAGAATATCACTAATTATTTCATTTTTAATAGTGAAATCCACATTTTCAAGTATAGGCAGTCTAGTTGCGAGACACGTAAAATCCATGAAAATTGCGCGCTGCGGATGTAAATTTCCCAAGAAAAATAGATTGAATTTTGTTTATAAAATTTTTGGTCTCGTTTGCGATTATAAAGGAAAACCTTTTGTAGCTGTATATAAATAATGTCTGCGACCTTTATAATAATTTGATAGCTGTTGTGCATGAAGTATCTGCTTTTTTGCTGCAAAAATGATCATCTCTGTCACAGTTGAGCTTTCTTCCTAACTTGCTGATAAAATTTTGCAGAAAGAAATGGGCGAGAGAAAAGCAAGTACAGAGCAAGCGATCATAGTGACACAGAGATGAGCAGGAAAAGAGAGAAACGAGGGCAGGGGTATGACAGAGAGAGGCACAGAAGCAGGAGCAGAGAAAGAAACAAGGATTATGAGAAGGAGAGAAACAGGGATCGAGATTACGAATATGAGAGAAGCCGGGATTATGGCAGAGATCGTGATCGTGATCGCCATCGTGATTGGTAGTAAATGACTTTTTGCTTTCCTTCCAGGTTTTTATGTGACCATATAATTTTTGCCAGGTTTCAAGTTTTGTACTGTTAACTGCTTTGCCTGGACACTGCTTGGTTCTCTATGAGCTAGTTTATTCTATCTGATGACCTTTATGTTTCTGTTAGGAAATGATCGTTATTAAGAGAAAAAAAAAAAAGGTGTGTATGAGGATAAAGGAATGTTGTTGGTGAAGATTGCATGCTCCGTGTGGGGCAGCTTCTTTGGTGCTGTAAAACTATGCATGAGGTGTATTTGTCTTTTTAAATATAGTACTGCTACAGCAATTTTTTGTTGTGATATTGAAAATTTGAGTACTAAGTTTTTAAATATGAAAGTTTAGGTCTGAGATATGTAAATATATAAGAATAGGGTCGATTATTTTAATCCCATATCAACTGTGTTATCATTTTAGCATAATTATTGGGTTTTAACGTGTGAAAGAATTTGTGGTTTATTGGCCCCGGAAAATTGTTTTCATAGTCGCTAGTTTGAATTCATTTATTTTATAATTTCTTGTTCATTATTTATACAAATTCTAAAAATTGTGCGAAAATATAATTTCAATCTATAGCTTAAATTGTTTTTTGAAAAAATTATCCTTTTTTTTTATTTTTTAAGAAAGTATTTGTCAACACTTGTTATCAATTTAAATAAGAATTTTTTTAGCCTATTTCGTCAAAAAATCGTTTAAAATTCAGGAAAATTTAATAATTATTGACCTGAACCGGTTATTAAATATTTAACCTCTTGAGACTACCTCAAGTTATGTACTATTACAGCCGAATATTACCTCAAGTATCAAGGTTAAAACAATTGTAATATGGTACCCAATAATTGAAGCATGTAACCGGCCGGTGTGGTGGATGGTGTCTGCAGGGAGGGCAGAGGTGAGACTCAGGCTTTGTGCCTGGCGGGGAAAGGTGTGCCGTGCATGGGCTGTGTGATGGGAATCAGGCTTGTTTGAGGCGGCGGTTTTCACGCAATGTGGTTGGGGGGCCACAAATTTCAGTTGGTTGGGGAGGCGTTTTGATCATTGCGGCCGCACTGTTTAATAAAATGTGGGTCACGAGTTTGACCCCACGGCCCACGTTTCTTCTCATATCTTTTATGCGATTCTTCCTCGTTCCAACTCACGTTTGTCTTCTACACTTTTCTTCCTCACAGAACTCCTGCTTCCTCTACTCTAACCTGCCGGACATCATCTTCTTCCGGTAACATGCCACAATTGATGGTGGGCCGTAATAATATTTTATATTAATTAATAATGTAAATTTTAAATTGGATCATATCAGCAGAATTTTCAGTTCACTCAAAATGTACCAAGTAAAACTTTAAATTCATTCATAAATTATAATATATTCATACTTTTTTATATTAAATGTATAAGTATTTTAAAATTATGTAAAAACTCTGTAAAAAATGAGAGTTTGTGTGTGAGATAAGTAAATGAATAAGAATTGCGAGTGGTGTGTATGTAAATTTCCCAAAAATTTAAAGGCCCTCAATAATTTGACAAACCTGATTCATCGGCAGCCGAGGCCGTGGCTACGAGTTACTGTGAAGGTAATTCTTTTTTCCGGCGCATATGGTCATTTCCCGGCCACAACACGTAGGACACAACTTCTTCTTCCTGCCCACTACTAGCTGGCCTCCTCAGATCAAGACGAGGATAAGGATATTATCATATGAAGCTCCTCTCCGCCCTCCGTTTCATCCCTCTCAACCGGAAGTACCCGCCGACATATACGGACTTCTAAAAGCTTCTTTCTTCCTTTGAAGGTGCGCTGCGCTCTCTCCTCGTCTTCCGCTTCTAATCAACTCATTTGCTTGCTGCTCTTCGATGAAATCCTCTTTTGCCTGCTTGAAAAATTGTCCTTTTTTTACATATATATTCGTTCTTTTGGCTTTCTTTGCTTACAATTCTCGGAAGGATGAGAAAATGTGAGCAAAAATCTCATCTTTTTTCGGAAGGATGGGATTACCTGTTTGTCACTCTGGTGGCTTGAGTTATATATTGGAAAAGGGAGCAGAGGGTGCGGCAGAGGATTTTCCCTCTCTATTTTAGGTCTGGCTTACCAGGATTTGAGGATTGCAGGATGCTTAAATTGAATGACCTTGGGAGCGAATGTGCCATGCTATTGTTTTTGATGGCTTAACTAGTTTACTAACTATTTTGTTTCACAATGTAGTCGTGAGAGGCTCTATATAGAGCTAGGGCGAAAAGCATTAATAATCGTTTTATTTTTCTTTTTCTGTGGGGATCACCTTTTAAGCTTTCTGTTTGATAAAGGGTACACATAGATCTTGTTGATATTCATTTCTATCAATTTTTCTAGAAATGAAGTTTAACAGTTTGAGGCAATCTTGCTATCCACTTTCTTCAATTATGTTCTTTTTTTATTCTTGTTTGGAACTAGTTAAGAGTTCTCTCAATCTGTCAACCTATCTCTTTTCATTTTTTTTTTAATTTCTGCTTCCATTTTGGAATATGTGAATAGGTTGGAAAATGTTTTTGATTAATTTATTTATCTTTTTTAGCCTAATGCTGCGTATAATAGCTAGGTTGGCAGTAACAATTTCTTTGTAGAGTTTGAGACCTTATTCTGTATGCTTTTTGCTTGATTTAGCATTCTTGTGTACAAATATTTAACTTGTGACTGCAATGGGGACCATATGGTTTCCATTTGAATATTAGGAACAAATTACAAATCATGATAATGACAGATTGAAGTTTTATTTAGATATTCAATCTAAGTGATTTGCCACTGCATTCAAACAGAGTTATTGGTTATTTGTGGTGTCTTCATTGAAATGTTGAAATGTTCTAAATAAAGTTTATCAATTTCAAAGAATATATTGAATGTATATGCAAGGAATCATGCCCTTGCTTCTTTTACAGCTCACGTGTTTTAAAGCTGAGCTTATGTATAATGGTAGCAACCTGCATCATTTTGATATGATTGGCTAGAATTTCAGCACGGTTTCTTGATATTTTTGTTTTCACCTTGACTTTCATATGGTAAGAGTAATATGCATGTAGATTGTTTGAAACAAATTATCATCATCATTATTAACCTTATTCTAATTGTTTGGGTTATGCGTTATGAGTGCTTAAATTTCATTTGTTCTTATAGAGTATGTTTAAGTAGTGAAATCTATTTTTCACAAATCATTTTGAACAGCTTCGATTTTGTAGTCTATCCATTTTTTTTTCTATTCTTTTGACACTATAATTTTATTAACACGTTGGGTAGATTTTTACCTTTTGTTGTACATTTCTAAACCATCAAGTATATTTTTCAGTCACTTTTTCTTATACAATTATTTTTAAAATTAGTCAATTCTCTATCGTACATAACTTTAACAACGTTAACACATATTTAACGCTTAACTTTTTTTCCTTATAACACACTAACTCAACTCTCATTACATTCGATCATCGTTTTCTCAAGACCAATAAAAGTTCTATGAAATTAGTTTCTTTGTTCTCTATGTGCTTCATTATGTTAACATAAAATCGCTTCAATGGTAAATCTTATTGGTATGAAATCAAATTGGTTCTCTAAAATTGATATTATTTTATTAAGCCTATGTTTCATTACTCCTTTCTATGCTTTCATTTGATGATTTATAATTTTGAATTCCCCATGGCTAGTACAGTCTTTATTTCTTTTGCTCTTAAACACTAGTATCATAATATTATTTCTTTAATTACTTGGCATCCTCTTAGTTTTCAATATTCTATAAAAATATTTTATTGATAAGCTTACTATAACACCCACTTAACTTTTTATATCTTAATATACATCTCATCTTGAACTAAAACATCATCTTTATGCATTGTTTTAGAGCCTGTTTCTCTTATTTTTTAGATCAATCCATAATATATTTCATTATATTGTTCCTTATGTTATTCTATTAATTTATATTGTAAATTTCTTATTTAATGTATTAGATTATAACGACTATCCCTGTGTCATTATTACTGATTATTTGATTTTATTCTCTGATTATATATTTTTTCTTTTTGCTTTATTCTATTTTTATTTATTTCCTAGTTATTTTATTATGTTTTTATTACTTTTCACTATTATGTATATTGTAATTGGGTTTAAATACCTCATTTACTATCAATGAAATTGAGCTGGTCTATTTCAAATCATAGCATGATATCAGAGCCTAAATCTAGTTCTAGCAGCCCTCGACCTCATCTACAGGTTTAGTAGCCTCCGACCTCCTCTACAGGTTCCAGCAGTTGTTGTCTCCACCTGATTTCCTTTCCCTGCAAGAAATACCGTGAGAAACCTCCAGCATGAGAGTAGCATTTTTTCCCTGTCTCCCTTATGAAACCTCCGACGCTGGGAATCCTACTTTGATATGACGTGTTCTTAAATTTTGTATAAAACGTATCTAAATGTTTGTATTTCATTTGAAAATGTTATGCTTTGAGGAAGATTTTTATGTTGTTTTATAGGTTATATCAAAAAGTGGATCAAACAAGACTCAAAAAGATCGAATCGGCGAAAATTGTTGTATGGCACCTAGGCGTCGGTTCAGCGACACTTTGACACCCAAACAAACCAAAATTCTTCCAAAATCCCAAGAGTACAGAAGTAGACGCTGCTTAAGAGGTGCGTAGGCGCAAGACACCGCTATCTAGGCTCTGTGTTACCAGCACCTGGGCGCTAGATGCTATGGTCAAATTACTAAATGACGCTTAGGCACCAGCCACTTGACGCCAGAACCCGAAAATTGACAGTTTTGAGCTGTTCAAAATTTGAGTTCATGGGAAGAGATAAAAAACATGAGGACAAAATTAGAGGGGCTTTTCACTATTCTTTCTTCTGTCATTCTTAAGAGGACATTGGAGGAGAAGGCCAAAGCTCTTGCAAAGAGATTAGAAGAGAAGAAAAGAGAGATATTGGGAGGATTGAGAGAGTTAATTATTTGTTGTTAGTGACATCTTCAAATTGCTTGTTTGTGAACGAGATAAGTATAATTACATTGTATTTTCTTCATAACTTCTTTGTGAAGACTTGGATTTGATGTTTATGCAAAATACTAAGTTTGTTTTGATGAAATTTGTCATGAATTGTACTCTCTCAAATTGAGATGGTGATTGGATAGGGCTAAGGATTTAAGATTGTTTGGGGCTTTGATTGGAATTTAAAAGTGTTGTGTTAACTTGAGAACTTAATTTACGTTCTATCTAACTAGTTGATTGCTAAAACCTTGCGTGAAATATTGATACTTGAAAGGATTTTTTATGGAAAGAAAGGGTTAATCACATGAATTCATTAGAATCGAGATATTGTCAATGGATTTATGCAATCTTCTAGGAGATATTTTCTTTTGAGTAGATAAAGAGTTTTAGGGAACTAAACTTGAGACTGCTAATCTTCTTTAGACCATCTGAAGGGGATAATGAAGAATTTTTCTCCTGAGCGACACTTTTTTTGAAGCTAATCCTTAGTTTTATCTATCACTTGATCAATGAAAGAGGGAAAAATCTTAACACCCAACTTTCTAAAAATAATATTTTTGTTTGCCATAATATACCCATTTTTCATAACTTTAAGATTGGTTTTAGATTGAACTTGCAAATCAAACTTTTCAGGCTTGGAATGATAGCTTTAGGCTAGAACTTCTCCTAGTAGAATTCATCTTGTTCCCTATGGGATTGACAATCAGACTCCAACCTGATATTACTGAGTCACCATGTATACTTGTGTGAGTCGCCTGTACTTTATAGCATTTGGTACGTGTGAAGTTTTTGGCATCTTTGCCGGAGAACGACGACGAATTTCAAATTAGAAAAATTTTAGCTGAACTTTTAAATCTTAGACTTGAAAACCGCAATGTTCACTTTTTCTAATGTTTATATTGGTTTTTTTATAGAACCCACAAATATTTTGTTTAGTATTTGTTTGATTGTGCACTTGTATATTTGTTTTCTTTTAATTGTTGCATAATTCTTGTTGACTGCTTGTTGTTGATTTAGTAGTTTATTTGTTAAGAGTTTATTGGGTTGTTGTGTGCTTTTATTTTAATTGTTTGCTATTCTCTTTAGCATAGGGTTACCTTGCTAGTTGAATCTAGTTAGTGTATGCGTAGTTTTGGATCATCAGACCTTGAAGCCTACGACCTTGAGTTTGAGAGAACCGTTAAAAAAAATAAGAAAATAAAAAGACTTCAACATACATTAGGAGAAATGACCGACTTACCTGATAACAATTCTGAAACCCATGAACATAATAACATGCATCTGTGCAAACCAAGGACTGTCTCTATGAATCACAATAAAAAATTATCTGACATTCTCAATACTGTGTCTGTCAACAAGACTCACTAAGGGAAACTCATCTACTTTTCTCATATTGGCCCCGTACTTTTCTCATATTGGCCCCGACATATGCCACGTAGTTGGTATGGCGAGTCATTTCATGCATGACCCTCACAAACACGACCTCCAAGCTGTTTACTGGATTCTCCACCGCTTAAAAGTTACATCGATTTTTTTTTCTATCACATCTCTCAGTCTGTTGTTATGTACACAGATACTGATTGGGTCGGATCAGATCATGATCGGCGTTCCACCTCGGGGTATTGTTGATTTGTATGAGACAATTTTATCACGTGGAAAAGCAAAAAACAATCTATGGTTACCTGAAGCAGCGCTAAAGCTGAATTTCAATCCATGCCTTTAGGAATCTGTGAAGCTCTCTGGTTACAGTTCTTGCTCCGCTAACTCCGTATGCTAACTTCTGTCTCGATGCAAC